ACATACATACATACATACATACATACATACATACATACATACATACAATTGCAGTCTGTGTGGGTGTGCAAGTTGAAAACCTTGGAAAAGAATAATTTTGCTCAGATTATTTCGTATGTTGACACTTGGAATCTTAAGGGTGTTCAGTTTGGCCGTTTTGACGTCAGTTTGTGGAATCACATCCTTTGTTTTTTAGGGTGAGACGCTCTGATGATGCGTTACAGGTAGGAACCAATGTGTTGATATGTTCCCAGGGGGGAGAATAAAGATTTGTTCCGTCCCGGTTTTAACACGGCTATGCCGCGTCTCTATAAGAACCCACAAAAACATAACAGAACACATGCTTTACAAGATAGCCTTTAGAGAAGTTGGCGGACATAAAACCCTGAGATTTACACCGGTTCAGTGTCTGATCGCTGACTCCGATTCTCCACTTTGCCACATTCAAGATGGCGGCGCACTCAATGCAGCGTCTATGTATACATGTCTATGTGTAATGTAGCGATGCTGCCTTTAGCTATCGGTGCACCATGTGACGGCGTCTGAACACTCAACGCGGGAGTCTCGTTTCACGTGGAAGTGTGTTTATTAGACACAAAAGGTACATCTTTTATCAAGCATGCAGTTTATTCTCGTTTTTAGGCAGGATAACGTGCACCACACGAAACGAGGAACCGTGACTGTTCATGAACAGTTTTGTGTGTATATTTCCAATCTGTTTGCAAAGACGTGTTATTTCCTTCCATGTTTTCCTCTGCCAGTCAGGTGAGATGTTGAGCCCCAAGCTGCTGACCCTGGTGATGGTGGTCCAGTCGGGCAGAGTTCTGCTGGGCATGAAGAAGAGAGGGTTCGGGGCTGGAAAGTGGAACGGGTTCGGGGGCAAAGTTCAACCCGGAGAAACAATTGAAGAGGCGGCGAGAAGGCAAATTCAAATCATCATTATTATTATTATAAGATGCTTAAAATGCTTTCGATGTGATCACTTTCCTTTCAAGACAGATTTATTTGTTTTATTGTGATCAGACCAGAATGTGTGGTTTCAGTTGTACGTTTTTAAGTTCAGTGGACTGATGCAGTCAGCAAACTGTACAGTAAAATCCAGTTTCAGTTGCATCAGTTTCATGCTTCAGTATTTTTTGATTAAACCCAAAGAAAAGCAGTGATGAAAATGATGCAGGTGCTGAATCAAATAATCTTTAAGGTCACATTTAAGTTTTCTTACAGTTTCTGAAGGAAAATGATGGTACTTAATGACATATTTTGTAGTCGTTTATTCAAATAAACTGTATTTCTTTTTAAGATAAAAGATTTAATGAGTGTTTTAGGCTTGGATGGGTTTTGATCACTTGAGAGCTGGGTTGAACATTTGTGTGGGGCTGGTACATGAAAGCTTAGAAAGTGAACAATGTGTGATTAGTCCCCAGCAGGACGTTTGTCTCGCAGCTGAAGGAAGGAGGCCTTGAAAGCAATCAGGCAAGCTCCCAGAACAGAATATGTGAAGTGTGTGAAGACTAAATAAATCACTGATCATCTAATTTCAGTCTTTTTGAAATTCAGGTTTCAACTTTCCACGCTCTAACTTTGAAAGATGTTCAGGAAATGCTCTTAAAACTTCAAGTGGATGAAATTGAGTGTGTCGACCATCATGTACCATGCAAAGAGGCGAGGCTCTGCATGGTGCTTTGCAAAAGCTAGAGATTAATCAAAACACTTTTTTTAATGCAGATTTAACATCTGTCAGCATTCAGACTCAAGCCATGACTTCTTTTTTTCTTTTCTTTTCCATGTAATCTATTTATTGTCTGTGGAATAGACAGTAAAGCTAACCACTTTTTTATATATAAAAAAGTGGTTATCTTTACTTTTAAACCAGAGACAAGTGAATTGAAGCTTCAAGTTGCTTTATTGTCTAAATGAAGCATTTTGTGACCTTATTTCTACGGTGAACATGATCACCGATGTATTTGTTGTTTTTCATTAGGGAACTTCAAGAAGAGAGCAGTCTCACTGTGGATGTGCTGGAGAAGATCGGAAATATCAAATTTGAATTTGTGGGAGAAGCGCAGCTGCTTGATGTCCACGTCTTCAGAGCGGATGCTTTTAACGGAGAACCCACAGAATCCGACGGTAGGATTTCTGCTTTAGAGTGGAGCAGTGAGGGTGGGCGGATAGGCCGTGTTATAGCCTCCAGGTCTAAACTAAGTGAGGCAGCTGTGGACACACAGGCTTACAGTCAGATCGTGTGGCCCCAAAAAATGGTATCACGATAAAGGGAGATTTTCTTCCCAAGTTGGGGCTCGAAAATAAGAGTGAGACGGGTTAAAAAGCAGGACTTTTCTTTTAAAAGGAGGCATGAGATATAAAGGAGGAGGGGCTTTGGAGATTTGAAGCTGCCAATCATTCTAAGTAAATTCTAAGAATGGAACCAGCAAAGCACGCTTTCTTAATGTCAAGGATACTTTTTTTTTCTTTTTGAAAGTCTAATTCGTGCAAAAGAGCCTGCATGTCAGTCATAAAGGTCTGAATCATTCAGTGCTTTTCACGGTGCCTAAGCTGTCACAGAAACGCAGATTTTCACAGATGACATTACAACACAGGCCCAGCTGGTCCATCGCATCAATGTATGGCTCAGACTGGCAGCTTGATCTTTACCTCCTGACTCTTCTTCTTGTTTTCTTTTTCTTTTGCAGTCCAAAACGCTATTCAAAATTGTACCAAACTTGAGAAGTTAAAAGCAACCCTTCCCTACGTTTTCTTTTAGTGTGTGTCGAACTCTCAAAGCATTGGACATATAAGCCCTTTGTTTACCACCGTGCTTCTCTGGGACTGTGACAGAACCACTAATGTCTGAAGGCGAGTTTTCAAATCCCGAGGCCTGTTGAGCTTGTAAATAAACTAAAGGGAGCAAAGAACTGGTGCACAGACTTGCAGTAGCGTGTGCTTCCTGAGAATTAAGCCAAGGTCAGTTGGGTGGAGGCCAGAGACACACAAAGACACTCAGAAAACCAAAACACTGGTCGTATTTAGATGTAAGCAGGGAAGGAAAAGTCTGGTGTGTCAGACGAGTTAAAGAGCAGGAGTGAGGAGCGTTTTTTTCTTTCTAAATCTGAATGTGGAATACCCACCAGTTTCACAAACCAAGAAAAATATATTTTGAAATAAGAGATGTCACAAGTTTAGTTATTTGAGGAAAAGCCCTTGCATTGTTGTGGATGTCTAACAGTTCCTATGTTTCCTCTTGTTCTCTAGAAATGAGGCCTGAGTGGTTTGAGATAGACAAAATTCCCTTCGGTCAGATGTGGCCTGATGACATTCTGTGGTTCCCCCTGATGCTTCAGAAGAAGAAGTTTGCCGGATACTTCAAGTTTCAGGGTCACGACGTGATTCTCAGCCACACCCTGGAGGAGGTGCAGGAGGTCTGATGTGAGGCGGCTGCTGTCTCCTGATGCCCTCTGTGTCTGGGACGGAAACAAAAAGCCTGTCAAGAGGCTTTTCAGGAGATGACCTCTGCCAATGTTCTCCTCCAGTTTTGTTATGTGGGAGGGAATGAGAGAATCATGTGGAATTTGACTTTTTTTTTTCTCTTTTTTTTTCTCATGATGTTTTTTCATTTCATGACATTCAAGTGAATCCATTAAGCGACATACTGAAAGCAAAGTGTGTTTTGTTACTTTATTTGAGAATATCTGGAACACAATTCAGAAACATCTTCAATATTTACAATATCTACAGTTGTCACTGGGTTTCATATCTGTGCTAGCCAAAACCAATGTTTCATGCTTTATGAATTGTATAAGCTTTGTTCATTAAATACATAGTAAAGATTGTTTATATATTTGTGTTTTGTGTCATTTCAGCATCTTCAGGATGATTTGTGACTGTGAGACAGTTTCTTTGAAATTCATAATAACTTTCCCTTCATTTTTGTTTACAATTTAAAAAAAAAATAATTTGTGTGTGGGACATGATACATGCACACATCTGAAATGTGAGTAGAAAAGCAGACAGGTTTTCCTGATAAACGGCACTGAGGGACACTTCTGCACAGTGGTGCCAACTAAAACCCAGCCATATTTCCAACTCACCGGTGTTGCTCAGAATAAGTATTTATGTATTCATGGAGTGTTTAAGATGATTATTAAAACGAGAAAAAACAGCCCTTTTCGTTTCACTGATTTAAAAACAAAAGAATATCTCAACAAGCTCTAAAGTGTAGATTAGTGCCGATATCCTTCAGCACTCAAATTATAATTTAAGCCTACGTGCTACTGATCATGTGGACAAATATATGTCTTATTCTTGGAGTGGTCGTTGTTTTCAGCTACACCTTGGTGCTGCAACAATGCCCTTTCCTTTTAGAAGCAATCTGTCTAGATTAGTGGAAACCAAGCTTACTTGAAATTTTAAAAACCTTATAACACTCAAACTTTGCATTGGGGTTTTGCTCTGATTCTACAAACCTGTTCTAGAGACCAGATTCTTCAAATTAACTGGTCATCACTGATACTCTTTATTTGACATTTTCCTCAAGAAATATTATAGAATTGAATTTATTTGCAGATTTTTTAGGAGTGGTGCTAAACAAATTAGTGTATGTATATATTTTAAATCATTCTTAAGGGGCCCCACTGCATAAAAATGTAGGCACAAAAAATAACACAAGATTGTCCATAATATATAAAGTATGCCGCTACATTTTCTTATAAAACACAACTTATATACTAGTCTAAGTTAATGAAAAAGGCACCCCCTGGTTAAAAGAAACTCTTCAACTTGTCTCTGCTATCTTAGTGTGTTCAACTTCTTAAAGGTTTTCAACAGGTGCCTCAGCACAGGTGTTTGGAATGTAAAATATACTGTTGCCCTTATTGTATCCAATGCAAAATTATCTGCTGGATGGGTTTTTTGTACGGTATGTTAACTCTAAGGAAAATAAGATGGCAGACTAACACTGTCCACTGCACTCACTGTCCTTTGCAGCCAACATGAACAGAAGTAAGACAGTAAAAGTTGTCCCACAGAGGGAAATGCACATAGTGTAATGTATGGGAACAGTTGTTCTATAATGTTTCATTACATAGTTGTTGTTTTTTGCTTTAGCTCACAGAGCTTTTTATTTTCCAGTTTGTGATCCTCGTTTTTTTTCTCTTCATCTCATGCATTCGGGTTTCAGATAGGAGCTTTCAATCCATTACCACCAAAAAGACACCCAAGCTTCGGGTGGAGTTCGTTCCACACCTCTCCCATCTGAAAAGAGAAAGCATCAGTCAGTTCACTTCTGTTTTTACTAAATCGATTTATCGGTTCCTTCTCCAGATGCTGAAATACTACCGCTCTTAACACACATGTGTTATAAAAAACCCTTCTGTGATAAACCATTCAGTACATCCAACCATCAACAAAGGAGTTTTGAGGCTATTTTACAACTCTTTTAGAACTCGTCCCTTTCACAACGGTGCTGTGTCAATGGTAAGACAGATGTTTGGAAAAATTATTTCCAGACGAGTAGGCTTACCTCTCTGTGTCCTTGGACCTGTGAGTTAACAAAAGCTCCCAAAATGTGGGAAGTGATTGGAAGGTAGGTGAAGATAAGCTGAGTCTCTTGATGAAGGCAGAAAAGAGAGAAGTAGTTACGGAGCTCCATGGTCTGGATAGCACTTTCTTGCTAATAAGATTTTTGAGAGACAAAAAAAAAAAGAAAAAACAGAAAAATGGAATTTATTAAGTTGAACACCTACTATAGCTTTGCTTTTGTAAATAACAAAACAATAGTAACAGGAAAAGTGAAAAAAGTTCACATTTGGCTTTGTTGACTATGTGGTCAACATTTCACTTCTCTACATCTATTTTTTTTTTATGTTTAATGTCTAAATAATCCATTTCCTTAATAAATAGTTTTTCCCCAGTTACAAACCCCAACTACTTTTTCTTTCCCACTGCAGCCAAAATAAGGTTTAAAACCCATCTACGAATGTAGAAAATTTACCAGAAAGGTAATTTCTCTGAGTGCAAACAAGTGCAGAAATGTTGGACAGAAATGTACTAAGTAGGGGAATTATAATGAAAACACTGACAAACCACACTGAGAAAGAGGAACTGTAGCAAAAGGATAAAAACCACTGGGGAAGCAAGTCTATACAGCAAAGTTAATTACCTTCTTACTTTGACTTAGCTTTGTGGAAGTAATTGAAATGGTACCATTTAAACTGAATATTTCAAAAGGGATTAAAAAAATGGATCAATGGCTTTTTGTTCTCCTTCAGTATGGGTTTTTTTGCACAAAAACGTCTTCCAGCCTAGTGTTGCTGCCTTTTACAGTATAAGAAAATACATATTTATTCCATAAAGGCCTGTGTTTGTCTATTCAAATTAAGATGTCGACTTGTTACAAAGAAGCTTATTTTTCTTAACGAAGCTTATGATTAGTTTAAACAACATCTTAATATGGTGAGACATTTTTTTTAAATAACATATAAATAGTGAGATATAGTAGCATATGTCAGACAAAAAGGAGAAAAACATAAAGACAATAACCTGTACAATTCGTGATTCCAGCTGTTCCACAGATGCCTGCTCTTTAGACTGAACGGTGGCACTCATCATCTGCCTCTTCATCATGCCGTACTTGTGCAGAGCTCTCTGGTGTTCGTGAAGCACGCCCTTTTCATGCCGCTCACAAAGATCCTGGAACAAAACCAATGAGAACAGTTATGTGACTGAAAATGGCAGGAAAAAGCTCCCTGGAACGCCGTCTCAGAGCAACCAAGACCCACAGAAGAGAGAAACCGTCAATTACCACACATATTATGTTTAACAGATTAAAAGCTTTTGAAAAAATGAGACAAACCAAACTATCCCAACTGCTTCAGGTCAGAAACGGTCAAGTTAACAGAGTGCGGCTAAAACCAAAAGTGTAATTTACTCACTCTATAGGACTGCAGCAGATCTAGGAAGAGATTCAACTTTTCCACAACATCATCCTCTTCCCGTCTGCCCTGAGGACCCAAAAAAAAATAAACATCCATCAGCCTGTGCCAGTGTGGAGCACACATACCAGGGAAAAAACTGAGGGCTTTACCTGCTGAGCTGCTTTGTCGGATAACAGAGCGAACTCTACAGACAGGCTCTTTAGAGATTGACGCAGAGTCCCCCAGGTGCTTTGTGAGGAGGCCAGGGAGGGAAGAGGCAAAGTATCTGTGCCCAGAGTACTGCACAAAACAACATCATTATAGAGGGAGGACCCAATATTGCAATGGCTTAGCCAATGGAGGCTTTAACAGTATTAATACAACACAAGTGGACAACGCAAAGAGACTTTATGCCGATAAAAAACGAATACCTGAGCTCTCTGCCAAACAGGAGCAGGTCAGCTGCGTTCTCCTTTGAACGCTCGGCCATTTTGTCAGCCCTGTCCCGCAGCTTTTGGAAACTGTTGTGGATGTTTCTTATTACCTCTCTGCTCATTGAGAACTGTGCCTGGATGTCTGCTGGGAGATATTCCTGCAAAACAGGTCCAGCAAAGTTATCCTGGTATGTTTGCATTTGAAACAACGGGAGCATCTTTAAAGACATTACCCTATAACGCCGCCTCATACGTTACCTTAGCCTGAGTTGCAATTCTGTTGGTCATGAACTCATCCCCAGTTTTCTTGTAAGTGTCACGCAGCTTGGTCTGAACATCCTATTTGGGAAGCAGGGGGGATGAGTGGGTGATCGGAAAAGGACACAGAGTTGCTGACACAGGATGTTTTTTCCTGTCACTCAACATGACAACAATGCTTAATGTGTAACCGCCAGCACTACACACAGCAGGAGCATGTTAAAGAAACAACATACTGAGCCACTGAAGGTGAGGAAGGTCTTGACCAGCTCATCCTCCGAGAAGAAAGGATGGCGAGCCACCAAATTAAGGAATCTGCAGAGGGCTCGTCTCCTCCCCTCAATGAACTCCCGCTCAGAAACGGAGGTCAGAACTGTGGACGTTACAAGAGAAATTATATGAGGAGGAGAGCCGTGGGCCAGGAGAACACACTGAGCAGTTTAACTGGAGCGCGGTTGTGGAGAGGATATCCATGCCTTTAAGTGAATAAAAGAACTAAACTGAAAGCTCCTCTGACCATTAGGGCACTCATTCCCACACAGAAATATGAAACGTTATCATCACTTTCATTGTTTTTTTAGACCTTTGACCTTTAAGATTTGCTGCACACTGAAAGGAGCTCCCAGAGGAACTGAAACCTCTGATAGCTTACTTTTGGAATACAAATATAATACCAATAAAATGTTGCAAAAGAACAAGAAAGGAATGTATGATCACTGAAGGGCAGGAGACAAACTGTTGGTCAGATGATAGCCAACAACAGCACAGTGAGAGAATAGCTCTGAGAGTGACGCACAGACGGAAACGTTTGTGTGAGCTAACTGGAAGGCGTACTGAAAACAAGAGTTCCAGAGTTCAGAGCATTAATTAATGATAAGGTTGTAAAACAGATCCTAAAGAGCTCCACAAGTTTTGCGAATAAATTCATATCTCATACTCGATTAAGAGCTAACTGAGCGTTTTATGCATCAGCGGCCTCTGTGTTTCTGTCAGGCAACAGCTTTGATTGCAGTGACTGTTTGCAGCCACAGGACCCACAGGAAGAGCAGCTGAGGATTTACTCATGAATGCCTATTCTTTAAAAACCTAAAAACGCTTCGTCACTGACGCTCGCAAACTAAAAAAGGGAAGCGAGATAAAAGGAAAGCAAAGAAAAGTAAGGGAACGTACCACCCTTTAACATCCTTTTGGGTGGCAACGCTGGGACCACTCTGTAGGCAAATCTCTGGAGCAAAACCTCATGGAAGACGTCAAAATCACTATAACGCCTGTAAACTGAGATCTTATAACGCTGGGGGAAGAAAAAGAGAGAAGTAATCAGAAAACAAATCATTGCAAACTTTCAATTTTTGTTCTCTTTGAGTGAATGTTTTGTAATGAGGTGCTCCATCTTCACTCATAAAAACTATCCCGAGGCATTTACGATAGTGCTAAAGCAATCCCTTATGGGATCCTTGCCTGGCTGGTGATCTGGTACTCCACATGTTTGAGGAACAAGCCTTTCTTCTCAGGTATGAGCTCCACACGGACAGTGTCGGTCGCCAGGAGTTTGTCCAACGTCTGGGACATCGTTAGCACGTCTTCCTGAGCTGGTTGCATCCTCAGGGCGTTCAGCTCCTTCGGCTCGCCAAGCTGAGGTTTGGGTAACTCTAAGAAGCACACGACTAGAACTAACATTTGCATTTCCACGATTCTATCAATAGCGCCATGAATTTCACAACTGGGAGGAATGCTGATTTTAAAACCACTGTTTCCCTCTGTTTGTCTATAGCTGGAGCCGTATTGTGCTCAGAATTCATGTGATCTATTATCATTCCCTCCAGGACATTCCATCATGCCGTGAACTGACTGTAATGCCCTGCGACAAAAGCCGAAAACTTGTTCTGGTGCAGGGCAGGAAGTGCCATGCAGCAAGCTGCCATACTGGCCACACCTGAAATAACAAAGAAAGTTTTTAAAAAATCCCAGAAGGTGGACGGATCCAAGCCAGCATAATGGTTACCTTAACGAAAACCATGAAACCTCTGCCTATCATCTTCCCACCATGGGACATGTGAAAGAATGCAGCACTTCAGCTGAAATTCCTGCTGAGGAACTAGAATGTGTGAAGTGAATGATTCCTGTTTGTTGGGTTCAATACAGTGGTGTTTTGTCATAGGGAACTTCCCAGTGAGCCAATAGAAGAGGGACATTTGCACCGCACAAATGAAATATGCCAACAATACAGGGATAGCTGAGGTTGCTTTTGGTCACAAGATTTTCCAAGCTACTCATTAAGCAAAAGCTTTACTGCGCTGCTGTCACTGCAGCGCTGCCACCTACCCTGTATGCAGTTCTCCAACAGTTTGGGGATCGGCTGCTTTCCTTGTTGAGCAAGAGCAATCAAAGCAAGCGCTTTATAGAGGGACAGCTTGCTCAGGAATCCATCCGAGGATTCAACATGCTCAGCGATCTGAGAGGGACAAAGACAAAATGACCCAAAGGTCGCCTTCTCTCAGTCTGAAATCCAACTTCAACTGTGGTTTGCATTCCTCAGCAAAAAGAACTGAGTAGACACAGAGGGGATGATACACTGAAAGGTCAGGAAAAAGGAAATTCTGGTGCGCTGTGAGCACCGTATCCATGCATTATACCTCCCCCCACACACACACTTTAGCATTACTGGGAAAACCAAAAAAAAGCTTCCGTTTCTGTTCCTTCCTGTTGATAAGACTATTCTTTCTGCATCTACTAAACAAGACTTGTCTTTTTAGAGAGATATATTGGAACAATATCCCTGTCAAGTAGAGTGCTTAGACTTTAAATTGATCCCTTCGAGGATATCCAATTGTCAAATGTGTGATATTGAGTGCATCTGTGTGGAGGGATGATTTCACCTCAGATATACACATCACTGGAAATTGTTTCATGCAAAGTACTTGGCATCTCGCCGGTTTTAAGGATCTTTCCCGGCATGATCCACCTCACCTGGTTAAGAGCAGCCTTGGAGAGCACGGTCCTTTGGAGCAGCCGCTGAAAAACTTCAACCTGCACTCTCTCATCTGTCCTACAACAGATAGCCTCATGCACTTCCCTGTAATAGGCAGGAACTGAGCCTAAAAAAGGAAGAGCACCTACATTGCATCAGAACTATAACAGATAACTGATCAGAAGGACACTAAATATGCCTGACCTGAAAGTAACCTGGTCACTAATGTCATGTGACTTTATATCGTTCCTGAAATGCTCTGACTCATTTCAAGTACTCAGATAGATAGATAGATAGATAGATAGATAGATAGATAGATAGATAGATAGATAGATAGATAGATAATTCGAGGACAATTATCGACGATTATCAGTTTCCAGCCGGTGACATTTGCGCATGCTTGAAAAACACAAGTGACAGCTTTTCACGTGGAGGGAAAACACCAGCCAGGCTTTTATCGCAGCTAAATATTTAGAGTACTAACAACTGTTATTGTACTAATAAACAAAAGGAGCGGAAAACACTCCCGGGAAATTAATAAAAAGGAAATAAAATGGAACAGCTTCATTCAGATCATCATGTACCCAAACGTTCCCGGTGTGTAGTTCCCATCGAAGTCCCAGCGAGCGGGGGGGAAAAACTCCCCGTGTGGACGCAGTTTATGAAACATTTCTACTTTATCGAGCAAAAGCAATAAAGCGAAAGTACAGAGGTGAATCAATACTTCATGGAAAGTAACTTTAAGAAGTCCCCGAGGCATACCTTCATTGATCTCTCCTGCCATGGCACGAACTGTCATGTGAGCACAAGAGCACCTCCATGTGATTTCCTGAAGGAAAGGAAAAATAAGTAATTTACTTCTTAAAGTTGTAGTGAGCACTGGTTGAAGTCCAAGCCCGGGGAAGCAGCCCAAGTTACCGCCTACACGGGCTGGTAGCTGATGAGCTCTGCCACGGTGGCTGCAGGGATATAAACCCAAAGGTTTCTGAAGGTTTCTGCTGATGTCTCATAGTTAGCATCAATCCATTATATAAGTGATGAGTCTACGTACTAAGAAATGCTTTGGGATCAATTGTCTCACATGATTATTCGTGTCCCGGTTCCACTCCTCTGATTTAATTTGGTTTATTCTCTGTTCCTCATTGTTCTAATTTAAACCTGCATATATAATGCAGCATTCAAGTGCTCTTTGTACGTTTGCACTTTCCCTTTGCCCTGCCTCAAATGAAGTTTGCGCGACATTTTCAGGCAAAGAGGACACGCTTTGCATAACTATTTACTTACTTATGAAATCGTTTATCAAATTTTTTTCTTAGCCCAAATGGAAGACAGTTTGTGATTTTATCCATATAATGAAAACCAAAGAAATTCCATAACTTTAAGAAATAATTGCTTTTGTATCATTAAAATGTTCCAATCTGTTTCACCAAGTATTTCCTGTCTTTTTTAGGGGTTTGTAATTTTTTATTTTCTCTATCTTATATTTTTCTGACTTTCTGTCCTCAAAGCCGCTTGGATTAATCTTTTTCTTGTAATTTGATTATCAGTTATCATTTTTATATTATTTGAGGTGAAATTGCTGCTTGATTCACGACAAATCACATAATTCACTGACATTGATTTATAATTTGACTGTCTCGTCAACTGTGACGTTCACTTGTCAGAAAGCGGTGATATTTCCGACACTCCTAAAACTTCCCATGAGCTATACCGGGGTTGACCTCTTGGGGGCGCTACTCGGCCGTTGTAGCCCCGACTTTTTGGAGTGTGTGCGGTCCGGGCTGGGTGAACTGCCAGCCGGGTGATTGTCGTGAACAACAGACGCAGTGCTGGCTCCAATCTTCAGCTCTCCCGTAGTCAAACTGGATGGGGAACTCCGTCGGAGCGGACAGTGTGAGCTTTTAACGCAGGACTGGAGAACATTGAGTGAAAAACCTCCATATCAACATATCAACCAGGATGTAACAAAGCGCCTACAAGAATGCTAAGTGGAACAAAAGATACTTCTTGTGACACGCCTTCGCGCTGAAGTCTCAGCGGACAGAACTAATCGGCAGCTAAACCGGCTAAAGCTAGCTAATCTACATTGTGGGTTTAACTAGCTGCGAGGAGCTCACGGTCTGTTTCAACTGCCTTTAAATGAGCCACGGTGCTGTGGAGTTCACAGCTCCCATATATCAGGGTTCCTACCAGCAGCACCCCGTTAGCGCCTCTTAACTCGGCTATCTGCTTAACTGGGTAAGTTAACGCTCGCCTTGTTGCGGCTAGCGATGTGTTTTTGTTAAATGAGCGAATTGTTTCGGGATTCTGGTGTTCACCAGCAAACGAAGAGGATGTTGTCTCTGCGTTATTTAACCCCTGCACGACTCGTAGTTTAGTTTGATTTATCGATGTTTTTACTTTAACTTTCAGTATACATCAAAGAAACTAGCTTAATCCTGATACTAATAGATGTAACGAGGGCTAGCGTATTATGCTAGACTTGCTCTGTTGTTGTGTCTGTCTTTTCCCAATGGGTGCACGCAGGCTGTTTAAAGTGGCTTCCCTTGCCTGTTCATAGTTGAAAGCATCCTTTCCGGAGTGGATCTCATTGACTTCAACTCGCCATGGCCGCAGTGGTGAGCTACTCTCCACCATGGTGGGTCAACCTGCTCCACAGACTGCCCCACTTCAACATCAAGTTCGAGCAAACCAGCAGTGATTTCAGACCAGAAGACTGGGCATACCTAGAGGTAAAAGTCAATCACAGACTCGGGGATTGCCTGGGTAAAGTGTAGGGTGATCCTTTGCATTTTGCTTGGGCTGTTGGGGGGATCTCAGTCTCCTGGCTTTGAAGGAGCATCATAAAGATTAGTTGTCACAGGTTCTCACCTTGGGATTAAAGATCACCGGTTTTATTTGTTAGAGCTGATCTGTTTGCACTTATTTCCTCACCTCACCTCTTGACCCATGTCACCATCTGTGTGAGGCTACTCTGTTTTCATCTTGACCTCTTTTTTCCCAGACAGCATCAATGTGCTGGCATTAAATAATGTGCAGTCCAGGCCAAATAAAGTATACCCAAACGGCCATTTTTAGAATATTACTTTCCTTTTTGCTTAACATGTAATCATATGCAACAGTTTGTTTTGCTACATGAAGAAAAATTAACCTCGAAGAGGCTGTTGCTAAACAAATGTCTGAAAATAACTGCTCAGATTAAGGCCTTTCAGCTGGTGGCAAAGGTCAAGCTAGGCCACGCATAGCCTGTTAAGCAACTAGTCTGGCCGGGCCCTGACTATTCAATGGTATCTTACAAGTTCATGACAAGTTTTTCCCTGTTTTGCTCGATGCTCTGGAAACTTTGAGCACACGCAATGACCTCATTTATTTTCACCGATGTGCAGGTTTCTCTTTCACGTTCCAATTATCGGGCAGATTGACCTTGAAAAGAAAAAAAAAATCCCTCCCACTGTCAGACGGCACACTTTGAAGTTGAGATCGTTTTCTTCCTTCTTTGGTTTTCTGCTCACCAAAGAAATCTCAGGATCTCTGAAAGCCATGCCAGATACTGGGTGTTTCCTCTTGAATTCTGTGGAAACAGCTGGTTCAGCTGAATCCGTTTCACAGCAAGACAGGAAGCGCTTGTTTATTCTGTGGTGGGCATCATTATCAAATCCTGCGTTTGGGTGTTGGGCTTACGAGGGGCACTGGATGTGTGTGTGTGTGTGTGTGTGTGTTGCACGGTTGCACCCAAAAAGCGGACATCGGTTACATTTTTAGCCGCTGTCACAAGATCCCAAGATTCTCTTGAAATGCGGAGGATGGTAACCGAAAGTAAAAAGAGGGAACCGTGCTGAGAAACAGGAAGACACGTCCCAGCCACGCATCAGCGGTTTATGGCAATGTGCTGAATCTTGTACCGGAATGCAGTTTTGAGAAATAAGCGCCCACATCTTTGAATCACTTCAACTTTTACAGTTGAAGCTATTTCACAGCCAGATTTCATCGGTATAAAAACAAAAACAGATTCTAAACAAGTACCTCTTGTTTGCTTAACAGGGTCTGTTTAACAGGGAACCAGAGTATTTCAGTCACTGGATATTAAAACTTGAAATTCAGTGTAATGTTGCACATCTCATTCAGCTACACAGGTAATCCAGCGGTCGGAGCTTGTTGCCTCTCGTTTGTCACAGACTTACAGCAACAAGAGTCACACAAAAAGGTCATCGCTGGCTCGTCTTATAACCCATTAGGATGACGCTCTGCTAATTATTGTTAATGCAGCACTCTCTGAAGGCTTAAGTGGACGTCTAGACTCATCCAGATGGCCAAGCTGTTAGCGGTGCTTACTGTGCAACTACGTGCTGATGATACGAGCCCATGTGACCGGGGTGTATCAGCATGTCAGCCATGCCCCCAAATTACAGTGTGTTGAGACAGCCGGTTTCTGCTCCTGCCTGGTTTATGCAAAGCAGCATGGAAGAGCCGACTCACTCAGCTGTGTCTGATTGGCCGGTCTGTCACTCGTGTGTCACAGTGGACGCAGGAAGAGAGTCACGGCTGTTTGCAGGCTGTTATTTGGGCCCACTCATTGTGCTCCCACGCCGAAATGAACAGGTCATCAGAGTGTGGTTGTTTAGAGCGCCAAACAAAAGGAACAGCTGGGTTTTTGCTAAAAAAAAAAGGGGGAAAAAAAGAAGCGGATGGAGATCTGACCAAGTGACAAATCCCCAGGGAGTATACAGTGAACACGGAGCTCTCTGTTTGACCTACATACTGTATAAAGCCCTGCTCCTGACATAGAAGTTCACTATACATCACATTTCTGCAGCCTTAAAATATCACCACTGTTGTGTAAGGATGACCATGGTCGCTGTGGAGGGATGAGGTTTCCTTTGGAAATGTTAGCAGTTCTACTTTTGATTTGCTGTTGCTTTGAAGGGAGCTGTGTTAGCCGTGTATACTGTGATCGTATAAGCTGCAAATTGTTGCATTTTATTTTCAGATAACAGGAAAAGATGGGGGTGCCCAGCAAAACAACCACCATTCCCTACCATTTGTAGGGCAGGGTTCACATTTCTATAAACCTTTTACAGAAAGTTCCTGAAATCAACATGCTTCGTTCTAAAGCAACATACAGAAAAGAGGGAAACGCACTGTGCTTTCTCTCTCTGGAGGAGTTTTTGCACTGCTGTTACTGGAATGACAGCGATGGCTGTTATTAAGTTTTTATAGCGTACTTCTTCTCCCCATCAGTCCATCCTGCTGCTGGGAGGTGTGGCGCTCGCCTGTTTGGCGCTGGACCTCTTGTTCCTGCTCTTCTATTCCATTTGGCTGTGCTGTCGGCGGAGCAAAAGCGAGGAGCAGCCCAACGCCGACTGCTGCTGCACTGCCTGGTGTGTCATCATCGCCACCCTGGTGTGCAGGTAAGCCGAGGCCCATCGGAGAGATGGTGATCTCTGTTGTGTGTTATTCTCCCCGCTGCCTTTGCTTTCACAGAAGGAGAAATAATAAACGGAGTAGACCCACATTTAATAGATTAGTCTTGCGGCTTTAATTAATCCTGTTCAGTATTTTCTTATCGCTTGTGTTCAGTTTTCCACCTCTCCACTTTAACATCTGTTTACCATAAAACAGCTTTCATTTTCCATGGTGACCATGAACAAAGTTTGCCATGAAAATAAATAAACAGATTCTCTTATGGTGAACAGGGGAGCAGTCAGACAGCTGTGGTTCTGTACAGTCATTTAAAACTTAACAATGATAAGAGTCCTTCTACAAGCATAGCCAATCGGTGTCAACATCCTACAGGTGTCTTTAAAAAGGTTTGTTACATCATGTCTTGCCCATGTGATTGGTTGGTGTTGGCCTGGTCCAATCATCCTCTCATCAGTGACAGTTCCCGCCTCCAAACTGCCGCACACAGCCATTTTCAGAAGCTCTCCTTTTGTAAACAAACACGTGTGCCGATTATTTTTATGTCTGTTTGCCACGTGCAGACTGGCATCAATTCTCCCTTTATGTTATCTTTACTTCTTGAAGTAGCTTAGATGGTGGGAGAGTGTACCATCTGGTCATGTTTTCTATCCTTGAACATGGCACTCGTTTCCTGTTTCCCTCCTCCCGTTGATGAGCCACCAGAGAGCCATGACTGTTGATTCAGAGTAGCACAAAGAGCTCGGGGAGCTGATGAGTACAAGTACTGCATCACAATCGCCGCGTCTGTGTGTGCTTGTACCCACGCACAAACATTTTAGCCAAAAAGGGGGAAACTTAAGCGAGAGAGATTAATCTCCTCTGTGCTTTGCTTTACTTTTGTTGTTTGGCAGAGAGTCTGTGCTGCACGTCCCTCCTCCAGGCGCAGCATAATGAGGAAATCTTGATTGTTTTTGGTTTTTAATGTCTTCCCAAATAGCTATAAAAGCGTTGTATGTTTTCATACCACAGCAGGGACTTCCCTTTGTTTTCTGCTGTGAAACTGCCTCTGTTCCCCTTTTTCACACTGTAAAGTGTGAGGGGAAAGAGATTAGCAGCCATGCAGGAAGAGGGAAAACACACTGATATACCGAGGGCTGCCGGAGTCAGGCAGAGCTCAAAATGATACGCTTATCATCATTCCACTTGATGAATTCCACTCGTGGGATGAGTGGAGTAGTTTGAAGGCTACCGAAAAAACAAAGAGGTCAATGCTCTCATTAGAAATACTTTTCATTTTCTGTCTCTGAAATATAAAGGGCATACATGGCCCTGTAATTGTAGATCAAGTGATTTTTTTTGTTTGTTTGTTTTGTTTTCTTCTCTCTTCGTTTAGTTCTATAAAATTCTTGCAGGTCTTTTTGCCAGAGCTACTTTTCTGCAACTGGAGCACTGTCAGTGCAAAAGCAGACTCCTGCCTCAGAACAGCCTTTGTCAGTCGTGGTGTGGGGTTTGGGGCATAGCCGGTCAATTCCTCTGTGTTTCCATGGTTCTGTATGGAGTCTTTCTGCTGAAACTGAAAGGAGCCTGTTGACAGGGGCCCGCACCGACAGGGTTAAAATGGAGTTCACACGCCTTCTTTCCCTGCCTAGCTCGGTCTCCTCTCTGTGTCTTTTTTAGTTAATCCCTCCTCCTCACCAGCCCGTCTCCCCTCCCTTCCTTTTGTCTCCCCTCAGCGCTGGCATTGCTGTCGGTTTCTATGGGAACGGCGAGACTTGTGACGGGGTGAATCGGCTGACGTATTCCCTCCGCCATGCTAACCACACAATCACCGGCGTGCAAAAGCTGGTAAGATCAAGGGAGCCAGATTGGACCAGCGTGTTTAATAATTCACCACTCTGCTGCCATGAGCATCCCTGGTCTCATCAGAGCTGGGTGGTGCAATCTGGCTTCCTTCTCCAAACTCGGCCATGACCTCGTCTGTCCCTCTGTTGGCTGAAAGGTATACGACAGTACGTCCTCCCTGAACCAGACAGTAGATGCTAACCTGCAGCAACTTGAAGGCCAGTATGCACAACACGCAGACTACCTGTCCATCATCCAAAAGCTGCAGGGCCAGCTGGATGAGCTGGTCAGACAGATGGTGGCCATCCCCTTCTGGGACAACACTAACATCTCCCTGGAAGATTTGGCCGTCAAGATTGAGCTATATGACTGGTACAGGTAAGACTGTGTACTACGCAGTGACCGACTGGCGGCAGCAACGGGCCTCGTGCTGCATCTTGGTGTTTTAATGGAAACCAGTAAAAAAGAAAGTTTTGAATTTATAATCAACGTCATTCATTTCTCAGTTCAAATAATTGCTTGTTTCTCTGAACTGGGAGGTCGTTTGCTGGTGCTCTTTGGGCACTGAAGTAAAACGCATCTGTGTCCACAGGTGGCTGGGCTACATAGTCCTTCTACTGTTCAATGTCCTCATCTGCCTTCTCGTCCTGTTTGGCCTCATTCGCAACTCCAAGGGAACACTCATAGGGTGAGTCTCATCATAATGGCTAATTGTCGTATGCACCCTCCGATTCATAAGGGTCTCTTTGTCTTTTCATCTTTTTATTCAGAATGAATTCACACTTTATTAATTGAAACTTCCTGGGTGTCTGTGTTGGTGGTTTGTAATGGTGCATTGTGGCATGCTAACTCTTAAACTTAGTAACTTGGCCTTTAAAAAAAAAAGATGATTTTTGTAGTTAGCTACTTTTTATACATAGACAAAAGGAAAGTCTCCATGCTCATCTTAAACAGCAAGTCAGGAATGTTGTTATTCAGCCATAAGACTTGGCAGGTTCATTTTCATTTTCATCACCTTGATTGCCTTGAGCAAAAGTCGACATGAATATGAATGCTGCAGGTTAAGAGTTCTCCTCCCCTCCTCCTGGTCTCCACAGGGTGTGCTTGTTTGGTGTCGTGGCTCTCATAATCAGCTGGGTCTCACTGGGGATGGAGCTGGCTGTCTCAGCGGTAAGTGTCTGCATTAGGACATGATCCTGTTTTCCGGGTCGAGCTCTCCTGTTTATTGGATGTAATTAGATAATTCAGGTTTTCTGTGCACTGCCAAACACTGCAAACCTCAAGATAAAATGCCAAGTGAATTAAGTTCCAAGTATAACTATAAGGTGAAACGCACTTGATGGAAACTCAAGGAACAACCAGCGTCGCTTTTTCTTTTTTACCCAATTACCAACCAATATAATGCATGTCATTATAACTTATTACACACATGTTGTGAAGAACTCAGGTTAGGGTTAAATTGGGATTTTAGTTTTTTCTGACCATTCAGAATAACTGGGATTAGATTTTTATAGATTTATAGAAGAAAGCCACTAATTTGTTTTTGTTAAATCCAGACTTTCTTAATGTTTTCCTCTCAGTCGTATTGCTTCCTATAAACTGGCATCATTTGCGAGATCTTTCAGGCAGATAAAAAATGTTGATGAATGCTAATCTGCATTTATGCATATGAAAGATCTATGTGGAGGATTGCCTCCCCCTCCAAATGAGTCAGACTGTTTGCAGCTACATGGGATTCTTCTTTCTGTGTGAATGAGTGATTGCTCTCCGCAGAAGCTACGGGAGCTTTTCACATTACTGAAGCTGTTTTCACCTAACTGCACATGAAATATGATGGTGCATTTCAGCTCTGTTTGTGAGGAAGTTTGATTGAGATTTAAGTAGAAATATTGCTCCAAATGACCCCCTTTAAATCTTTTTTTTCCCCCTAGAGCTCTAGTGACTTTTGTGTGGCTCCTGATGCATATATTACCAAAGTGGTGGACCAGTATGGAGTCATTAATCAAGGTATGAACATTTTAAATATGAGGCCGTACAAATTGGACTGGACATAAAGCCGTTTGATTTGTGGTGGTATCAGTGCTCTCATTGTTGTCTTGGCAGTGACGACTAAAGGGTTTATCTCGTTATTTGTCCATGCTCCATAAAAAGCCTTGGGACAATGACTGCCACATCTGCAGCACGGTCAGGAGGGCAATGGGCTTCCTTTTTGAGCTGCACAGAAGCCTCTTTAACACGTCTCATTTTAGTAATTACCCAATCTATCCCATGATGGGACGCGTGTACGAGTGAGATAAAAGCAGCACAGGCTCCGTGGTTCAGGACATTTCCTGCTTCCCTCTTCAGTCTTTGGAGATAAAGGTCACTTAAAAATATGACGTTTCAATGTCCTTTTTTTTCTAAATCAGCTTAGCACAATACACCTTGTTCTGCTCTCCTCTTTAATATCTGACATTTGAAAACGAGCAGGCAGAAATAGGACATCAGCTACCAATTCTCTCCTATTTGATTCACTTGGAACAATGAGCGCTGACTCACTAAATGCACTGCTCTGCGTAATGATGCAGCTTCAGCATCCTGAGGCGAGGCAGCTCATGCACCGTGGGTGTTTTTAGGTCAGCCTTCTTCCCTTAAACAGGAAGTCCTGAGCTTCACAACAGAATCTCATTCCTTTCTTTTTTTCCAGAATATTTCAGTTCATGCAGTAAAATGTGTTTAAAAATATTCTTTACGCTTAAGCTTTTTTTCCTTGTAGTTGTTGCCTTGCCGAAATTGGAGCGAACCTCTGGATCGAACGTTTGTTATTTCCACACTGGATTTAATTTGTCAACATGCAGCATTTCCATAGCCCTCAGTTAGTTTTCGGTTTCCTGCTTTGTCCTCATCGTAGTTATGCCAGAGCTGCAGCTCTTTATCAGTCTTTCTAACACTTTTTGTTTCTCTATAAATGTAATCTTTTTTTTTTCAAAAGCTATTAATTATAGAAGAACTGGCAGAGCTCCAGTCCCTAAAATGAAATCCAACCTGCTGCACAGGCTCTGGGCCAATTGTTTCTCGAGTAAACAAGCTGTAGTGAAGTTCCTGTTGTCTGATGGCTCAACGCTCAGTCAGTTCATAAATCAGAGCAGCAAAAATCCTATCAATTTCACAATGAGAATAATTTAGTTTTTTGTGACATAGCAAGTTATTCTTTAATACTTTTTTGCCAGCAAGTTGCAGCTTTGAATAACTGCAGATGAGCAACAACTGTGTGGTTCCGTGTCTTGGAGTCTTGGAGTTTTAAAGAGGCATCAGTGGCTCCGTCAGACACCAGGAAACCTGCTCCTCCTGATATGGATGCCTGTGCGTGTATATGTCTGTCTGTGGCTGCTGTGAGATCTACAGCAGCTTGCACGATGATGGGAACTTCTCTGGACCGGAAACTCCTCTCGTTGTCATTTGTGTGGTGTGGGGGGGGGCAGAGAGCTCCTGACTCAGCAGTGAGTCTGGACGTCACTAACAGCATGTGCCAGGCCAGTGGGGGGGTGTTCTCACAGCTCGGGTCTTTGCACATTGCTGAGATACATGCTCACGCATAAAGAATATTTCATTGACTCTTCCCACTGTTGTGGGAGGATAAATCTAAGGTTTGCAGTTCTCTTTGGTTAATGGTGGACTCTGAGCTGCACACAAGTTCAGGCCTGTGGTGATTTAACAGAAACCACAGAGATGATGTAAGCAGCCTCTCTTTTGTTTTTTCAGTCAACGGTATGCTGTAAGAAGGGCTTCACCAAAGCCGCTCAGTGGCTGCGTATTCTGTTGTTTTGTCAAGTAATGACGTGTTGGGAGAATTCATCTAGACTTTTGCAGCACGTGAACTTCATTCCCAGGATTACCTCACAGTAGAAATGGTGGTTACAGTAGCAGGACAACATGCCTAAAAGTGGATGATAGCATTTTTACTGACTTCTTTTTCTGGGGGGAGAGAGATTTCTTACACTGGTGTTCTTTTAGGAACCAAGAAATTAAAATGAAAGACGTTAAACTGTTTGATTAAACCCCTCAGAATGATCACCTGATGATGCACATCTGATGTCAGTTCTGACTGACTCCCACTGGCTTTTAAGTTTTCTGAAGTATTATTAAATCTTATCTCACAAAAGTAAATAGTCTCTTCAGCAGCATCCTTATTTCTGACTGTAGGGTTTGTTCTTTATTTCTCTTCCTCCTGTCTCTCTCTCAGAAACCTTGCAGTACTACCTTAGTTGTGGTTTGGAACAGACCAACCCCTTCCAGCAGGTTTGTTGTATACATTTAATTTAATTGATGTGTTTTTGTTCTATTTCAGTGGTTTTCTCTATAATGCTTTTTCAGACAAAGTGATGCTTGTAAAGTTCTAATCTGAGCAGACATGATATCACAGACATATTCTCTGCATGATGTATGAGCTTGTAATTGGTAATAATGCCAGCAGCTACAGTGAGTCACTCCCACTGCTACAAAGAAAGACTTTTAGACGCCACAATACTTTCCATTCTGTGAGGCAGAGCAGCTTTTCCTGTTTCTGTGCCTATAGTAAGAGCCGACTGCAAAGGCCTTGAGTTGGACACCCCGTGTTGTTCAGAGATAGGGCTCACTTTTACTGTTTTCTGTAATAGGCTACCCACATTTATTCTCTCATCCTTCATAAATAAATAACATTTTGAGTGCTACTGAGGTCTAAGCATTTATTGTTGGTCAAATGTAAAGGAAGCTCTACCTGCAAGTACAGAGGCCTTCAGCTCACATTTATCAACTGCATGAGTACACATGGTGCCCATATGACTAAGATGGAGACAGCAGATGAAAGCTGCTTGTATTGATTTATATAAGATATAAATATTTCAAATGCCCTGGACATCTGCAGTACTTTTCCTTTTTGTTCTTTTTTTTTTTTTGTGTTCTCCAGAGGCTTTCCGGGAGTCACAAAGCATTAGTGGAGATGCAGGACGATGTGTCTGAGCTGCTCCGCTCAGCTGCCAGAGAATACAAAAACACCCAGGTACGTTTCCAGCCCCAGCAGTGGAATTGCCACAATAGAGGGGAACTGCAACTGTTGCATCACATGTCGGAGTATCCCACTGACCTGCAGAGAAGTAAGCTGCACCTGTGCTCACAAAGATTTGCTGACAGCCCACCTGGGACCTGCATTATGCGCACTGAGCCGCGTTAGGCTTTTCACGGGCTCAAGTCCATACAACACTGGGGCATTGTCCTGGGCTGGTCCTTACACTGGGTTGACAGCAGCATAAACGAGAGCTGACACCGGGAACAGAAAGAGGCAAATTTCTCTTCACTTACCCACCCACAGAAATATTTGCTGAGGTTGTTGAAACTTTTTTTCCTTTTTTTTTTTTTATCGGGCGATCTGATGTGCATTCAGCCTGAGATGAAATGTTGACTATGTGAAAACTGAGTCCATTAAAATTATCATACATTAAATCTGCTTTTTAACTCTGTGTACTGCTGCATATTCATGAAAAACTCATCCTTGATAAATGTGCATTGAATAGATAATGAATGAATGTATTAGCATTTTAAAAAAGGAAGAAGAAGAAGCACTTCAGTTTGTGTTGCATTGTTCTCTCTTTTTTTCCATCTGTTACAGCTGTTGTTAGTTAAAGAGAGAAAGTTTAGCACCACTGCCTAATTCTTTCATGGAAATTCTGATTCCTCATATGTGTTAAGCTTGCACCATCTTTCTTATGGTTTGAAATGACATTCAATTACCTCGCGATTTTTTACATTGTTCAAATTTGACTTTTTAAGGAAAGTTTGGAAGAGATCCAGGGGATACTGAACTCCACAGAGATCAGCCTTCATCAGCTCACTGCTCTGGTGGACTGCCGCAGCCTGCACATGGTGAGCAGAGATGAAGCGACGCGGCGACCGAGTCGTTGCTGCTGTGGTTTCGCTTTCTGTGAGATTTGTTGTGACATCTTTGCACTGCGGCTAAGTTGTGCAAAGCAGTCCTTTTTTTCTTTCTCACGCTTGTAGAGCTCGCACACCTGTCACTATAAATAACTTTCTCCTCCACATATTTTGGGGTTGGAGTCCAGTTGATGCACGCACGTACGCAGCTGGACAAGTGAAAGGTTCTTGGCATTCACTCCTCCTCAGAGGGTTGTGGAGTTCCGAATTCCAAGTGCACACATGCGGGTGTAGCATTTAGTTTTACTTGCCTTCTGCTCCACTGCCCCATTTCCATAGCCGTTACTACACAACCACTTACATCATGTTCGGGACTGTCTTCAGCAGAATAGTAAATATTTTTTTTGCTTTGCATCAGACGCAGAGTGCATATTCTTGTTAGGTTAGTTGGGAGTGTAGTGCTGCTTTTAAAATAAGGGTAAAATGTACCATCTTCATTTTAGTCTTTACATAGCTGAAACTGAATGTTGGAGACAATGCAGTTCATGATACAGACCAGTACTTTGTTCCTTCGTGTGTTTAGTCAAATGTGTGAATGTGGCCTGAGCTGTTCCTGTCTTCTGGGTCAATGCGTCGCAGGACTACGTCCAGGGCATGACCGGACTGTGCTACGACGGGCTGGAAGGCCTCATCTACCTCGTGTTCTTCTCTTTCGTCACCGCTCTCATGTTCAGCTCGATTGTCTGCAGTGTGCCTCACACCTGGCGGGGGAAGCGGTAAGACATCCACCACATAGCTAGCACTCGCCCTCCATCTCAGAGCCACATGCGAGGCTGTGCAAAAGCTTTTAAGCTTAGTGTTTATTCCGAACCAAATAAACAGTGAGGAATAATTCAAGAGAGAAATCCCATTAATTTTTAATGGTTTTACAGCAGATTTCCTGGACTTCATGCTATTTGCTCATGAAGATTTTTTGGGGTGTGGACAGCGCGATGAGTGGTTGTGTGGGCCTAAAACTGTCCAAAAGGGATGGTGGGTAACACAATGGGATGCGTACACATTATGCACAAAATAATACAGACATGCATATGTCATTAAAAGAAACTATTAAGCATTTGTTCATTAAACAGTCACAACCAAACATGTTTTTTCCTTATGTGTAAAATTTGCTTGAAGTTGTTTAATAAACCAGCATAGTTGTAGCAAAAGCGGCAGTATACAGGTTGGGAACTAAAAAGGAGCTCTTTGGAAAGATAGTAGCTCCCAAATAACTTCCTATCTTGCATGCAAGCCAGTTGTTTTAATGTCAATAGTTATGCATCAGTTACGAACTTCATGTCTTTTAGTGTTTGTAGCATCACTCTTTAATCAACTTGGCTCTTTGGTGTGACATGAGAGTTTGGCAGAAGTTTGTTATTACACGCCCCAAACGGGATGGACCCGACATGCCGGAAACGAGCCTGCGGGCATCGTGAACACTAGAGGGAGACAGGCAGCATGATGTCACCGTCAGGGGGGTTTTGAAGGCTGTGCTGTGTGAATTATGGCCCGCACTACAGAGCTGCACTAAGTGAAAAGAAGAGCAAGTGGTGATAGTCTCACTGAGGTTATTTCACCTCAGAAAGATGGTTCCATGTTTGTTGAAACAAAACCAGCAACTGTCAAAAGTCTTTTTTTTCTTTTTTTTTTATATTTCGTTTTCCATTCTATGAGGTTGGTGGAAATTTAGATTGATATTTCTCTCTCTCTCTCTGAGATAGGTATGAAATGGAAGCAAAACGTGACTGAGAGTAGATGGGGGGGAAAACGTGACCACGTGGCATCTTTATTCTCCTTTGTTGGCGGCGGGATGGGACTGGGGGTCCCTCTGCTGGTGGCTTCACCGTGTTGTTGTGGTTGTCTGCAGGAGCGATGACGACAGCGAAGACGAGTCTGTGAGCCACGGAGGGAGGCAAAACCATGACAACCTGTACCGGGTCCACATGCCCAGCCTGTACAGCTGCGGCAGCAGCTACGGCAGCGAGACCTCCATCCCGGCCACCGCGCACACCGTCAGCAACGCACCCGTCACCGAGTATATGTAAGACGCCACTAAGGAACGAGCTCCTTTCCCAGAAAGCAGAAGTGGCGAGAGCATTTGTTTTCACAGCAGAGGCTCCGGACTGGAAGGCTGATATTGGATTCCCTCTGTTGTCAGGAGCAAGTTTATACGTCCCCAGAGAGAAGCTTAGCTCTGCAAAGAAAGTCCTGTTGTGTGCGGTAGAGGCAGCTGTTGCTTTCCAGCTGTGACCCCTGTGAAACTCAAAGCCCTCTGCGGCTCAGTTCGGGAGGCCGGGGGAGGGGAGGAGGGTTTCATCAGGCCGTTTCGTTTCCGTAATGCTGTCTGTGTGGATGCAGGGGAGCAGGGGATGCAGGGTTTGTGTTTGACCTGTTTGTGTGTTTGACTCGACAGGGCTCAGAACTCCAACTTCCAGAACTCTCGCTGTGAAAACACGCCGCTGATCGAGCGAGAGTCTCCTCCTCCCTCGGTAAGCGTTTCCTCCCCCTGTTTAACAGGAGGTGGCAGAATACCTGCACGTCATTTGACTTTTACGCTTGTCCAAAGCTCATTCATCCCGCCTCAATGTAAAGTAATAAAACCATGAGCTGAACATTTTCCTTCTTTAGATTCGACTTAACATTCTCTGTTGAGTCGGATTTAAAAAAGGAATAGAAATGACAGAAAACCGAAGGGCTCCTGAAGCTACCAGCACATTGCAACTCCACATTTACTGTCAGTGATTCCTCAATGCAAAGTTTCTTGATTGTTTTAAATCATGTTTCACATATTGATCTTCTGGCCAGAACCTCCTGGTCTAGGCTGTGAGATCTGTTGGGGCCGTCAGTACCTCCAGAAGCCACCAGATTCCCTAACGAATCCCCAACTTTGATCCTTTCCTGGAAAAGCTGATGGAATGAAAATCATCAGCTTGTTTTCCTTCAGTTTTTTAATCAACCTGATAGTTTTCAAATGAAGATCTAGATCCTGTGGTTTCTTTGGTCCTCTGAACTCCATCGGGAAGGAAGCTGTTAGAGCAGCGTCATTGTCCTTTTTAAGAGCCCACCTCAGTTTCCCATCCTGACCCACCCGGCCTGAACTTCCTATAGAGATCCCCCCCCCCCCAGGTGTCTATGCGTCTGACTGGGCCTCGGCACTTCTTTGAATGTCTTCTCTACACTCTCTCCTTGTCGTTCTTTTGTTCCTGCGAATCCACACAGTTGTATTTGACTGCCGCGGACAGTAACAGCGGTCACTGCTGGCAGTTAAAGCCCTCCGAGAGTTCGAGGTCGTTTTGGTAACCTCGTCTGCTATGCTAACAGGTACAGAACATGCCCTTCTCCCCCACCCGACACCTCCCAAATCTTGGCTCCTATGACCCTTTGTGCAGCCTCTCCTTGGGCTGACGGTCCTCCCACCCCCACCCCCACTCCCTTTCTGTGCTGAATCCCGTTAAATGTCCCACCTGCTGTCTTACCTGATGTTTGCTACCTATGGCCCCGGGCTGCATGTCTCCCCCCCCCCCCGCACCACAGATGCATTGGAAGGAGCATGTGAGACCAGAGCTACCCTGAGGCTCGATTTGACTGCAGGTCAGGGACGTATTGGCTCAACTGCTGAGCCTGACCACGCTGGCCTGCTTTGTCCTGGTTTGGGACTTTACAGGGACCTCACGGGTTAAATGCAGTTTCATTTGCTTCAAGGTTGTGCAAGGCATGACAAGGCACATTTATTATGATCTCATTTTAAGATGGTTTCTATTAGCTTTTGTGAGGTTGGAAGCACTTTTCTTGTTTTTTGGGTTTTCGTCAATCCAAACACATTTTTCAGTGTTTTGAGTTTCTCAAGCATCCTGAAGGATGATCAAGAGTCGAACTCCAATGTAAATGCAACCGAGACCACTCAGTGTGTCCACAGAGTGAAATGCAGCCCTGTCGTGCTTGTGTCACCCCTTTGTCCCAAAATGCATGTGTGCATCCTAAATGCACGCAGCAGCGACAGAATTCAACCCGCAGCGGCTCACATTTAGACCCCTCCTTGCATTCGGATGTCATTGACTCCTCTAGCTGTTTCTGTGATGTTCTGTGTCTGAGTGGTTCACTGTCCTCGTAGATTCCAGTGTTCTGGAGTAAATTGGCCTAAAATTAATCTGAGTGGGATTTTCTCTTAACTGTGGATTATATTGTTCTCTTGTTCAGCTTCTTTGTATGTTAAACAGAAATGATTTATTCTTTATCCAAAGGATTTATCCAATCTTTTTTTTAACCCCAAAATTGCACCTTTACTTCAATTAAGGAATTATGAGAAAATTCTACATAGGATTTGTTAACTTCCTGTGTGTGTGTGATTTGAGTGCATTTTAGCATATATGTTGTGCATGCCCTTTTTTCCGCATTTGTGACAGATGAACCCACACGTCTTGCCTCTGGTTCGCTCCACAGTACACCTCCAGCATGCGGGCGAAGTACCTGGCCAACAGCCGACCAGATCCCAACAACCCACCAGCACATTAGACTCCATCGATGTCCATATCTCATCCGGTCTGCAGCACTGACCTCTCTGAAGACTCCTCCGGTCATCACACCTTTCATGTGGTTCTCTGCGTTTTGCCTCCATTTACTGTCTCACTTGATTTAAACCAAATGTGCTTTTCACTGGTTTGTTGAAGCAGAATTTGAGGACGTCAGTCCAGATTTCATCTCACGGGTCAGGGGTGCAGGTAGTGCTTCTTAACACATGAGTCATCACTGGTGCTGAGACTGTAGCTCTGAGGTGATAAAGCCCAGACATCCCCCCCCCCCGCACACATGATTACAAAATGAGAAGTACTGTGACACATGAAACAAGGTGTTGCCATGGTGAGGGGGCGTGCTCGCAGACTGACGCCGGTGTTTTGTAAAGTACTGTACCATACTCTTGTCTTTTCTGTGGGAGGGAAATACCTGACATTTACATACAGGAGGAACCCCAATCGATAGAAACCACCTTTTGACACTCTGTCGTAGTCTAGTTGACATGGGTGAGAACCTCAGCTCCTCAGGACTTCTTCCTGCTTGTGAAACTTGAAAAGCAATTTAATGTTTGTGTGTGTATGTGGCACACACACAACACACTCCCCCAGGAATTTAGCTGAATATCTGATGGGACCAGCCGTTCTGTGGCATCGCACATCTTACAGCGGACTTATGTAAATCCTTCTGAATGCTTGCTTCTCTTCCTGCTTTGGGATTCTGTTTTCTGTCTTTAAGTAGTGACGAGCCCCATTTCCACAGCAGTGACTGTATAGCGTGATGCCGCTTTGAGCCAGACAGATTGGACTGGATCTGTTTCCTTTTATAGATAATGATGATGAGGCAGAAAAGTGTCACTTCACACACTGTCAGTTCAACTAAATGCTTGTTAGGTCTCCACATACCCGTAAATCCTTTTATTCCTTACTCCACACTCCCTTTTACCCCGGCAACGAAAATCTCCACCAGTGATTTTAATGCAGATTTCCACAAAGACGCTCCCCTCCCAAGAGAATTTGCAGTTATGCATTGCCAATGCAGTGTCTCACAAATGTGTTTTAGCATTTATAGAAAAGTAGAAAATTGTGAGCGGATGCTGTGAAGAGATTGTGAAAACTCCGCTCCGTGTAAAAGTGAAACTCTTTTCCCTGTCGAAGCATGACAAACCTTCATCTGTGAGGTGAGCTGTTTGTACCTCTGTCGCCTCAGCTTGCTTCTTATTGATGTGCTCTCTGACCGTAACGAGGCGACGTCGAGACTGTGCCAACAAGTCAAGCACAACTCTTTTACTACCTGTTTTAGATATGTTATTAAGTCGACAGCTTTCAAAACCATCTTTGCTTTCCTCAGCGTTATTCCACTGCTGATTTTCTTTTTTGGTGGTCTTACTATTCTCTGCAATTCTATGATGCTACAAATGAATCATTACAAAAGACTTCAGAATTTCTCAAAGTCAATATTTTAATTTCTCAAAAACTTCTCAAATGGCCCATGATTTTGGATACTATTTGATTCGCTTTTAGTTTTGTTTCTCTTTTTTAATTTCAGTTTAGAATGATAGCAAACACAGTGTGTTGCTAAATCAATGTGAATATAAATAGATGAATGGTTCTTTTTGGTGGAAAAATCACTGTAGATGTGATCTTTTTTTTTATAAACATCATTTTGTAACGTGTAAATGTAAAAGCTGTGGTTATACTGAGTTTGAATGCTGTGTTTTGAAATAAAAGAAATCGTAACTGAAATGCAGCAGCTCTTTGCTTTGGTCCATCTTTTTTAGGGAATCATGGCAGAGAGCAGACACTAGGTAGCAGCAAAACTTCACTCTCAACAGAGGGGTACTCATTTTTCTACAGAATATCCACAATCACTGGTAAATGTAATTAGGTCCAAGAACAGCTTTAGCACTTTAAAAAGAGCAATCAGCACTAAGATGTGCAGATGCATGATAAGGCTTGACAGCTTATCCTGCAACAACTCTGTTTTCATAAGAAAACGATCTAAAGGTAGCAGCTCTTTGGTCCTCAGCTCCTCTCCTCTTTTGGCTCCTTTGTACTTTTCTTGTTAGGCTGCAGTTATGCTGCTTTTTTTTTTTTTTTTTGGATCACTTGAATCTCTTCAATCCACTACAGGCAACTGTTCAGGGAGATTAAAGAAAAATAATTACTGACCTGAAGTTCATGTGGTGGACGCAAACATGTCCCAAAATTACTAGTGATATAGCTCTGTAATTACATGTCAAATGCAAGTTGAATTATGGACTAGAGAGGATATGATGGTTATGCAAATGTGTCGTTTGAAGTGTAAGAATAAAAAGCCACATAGGAAAACGCGTTGTGGTGACCCCCGGGTGCAAAACATAGCATTGTACAAAACCTTATTTTCAAGAACCTGTTGTGTCTTATATGATTTTCATTGTGATTTATCTTACACATCCGAGCTACGGGTCTAACATTTGCAGCCAAAGCAAGAGTGCACGATACTACACTGATGAGCTTGTTCTGTGAAAGCATGGGGCTTTTTATTCCTGCTGCCGCGCCGTCACACACGACAGGCTGGATGATGATGGATGCTGATGAAAAAGGCAGCCTTGTGTTTGTGACCCCTCTGAGCTGACATCAGGCGGGAGGTCAGTGTCAACGGCGGGCCACCAGTCTGGGTTAGTCAACTTCTTTCGTGCCGCCAGCCAGCTGCCGTCTCCCAAAATGCAGACTCCTCATGCCGAAGTCTGGGAGTCAAAAATTAACATTCGAGAACTGAGACAGGGAAGAATTCCATTAGACAGAAACACAGTTTTTTGTTTAATATTCTTCACTTTTTTTTTTATTTGCAAAAAAATATATATTTTCAGTCACGCGAAGACCCATTTTCCAGAGTTTTTACTGACAGGTCACAAACAGGTCATCTTCTGTGTAAAGTGGCCCTTTTAGGAATCATATCTGCATGTGCAGGAGGTCTCATGGGGCGGCTGTGGCCATTGCATCATTTTGTGAGCTCCTGCTGTTTTTTTTGTGGAATGACCGAATTCAGCGTAGCAGGAAGCAAACAAGGCGTGACGGACGCTGAGAGGGTTTCGCAGCCTGCCCGACGCACAGAGCTAAAGATGCTAATGTAATTCACACGGTCTCACTGTTGAGGAAATTGAATTAGCCTGGTTGTTGCTGGACTGAAGGAATGCATTACTAATGCTTTGAGGTGGGAGCTGAATGGAGAAGAGCGGGGAGGAGGGAGGGCCTGGCCCCTCCAAATCCCACCATACTCACTTCCTGAGTCTGGTTGGGCTTTTTGCCAAGTGGCCGGACCATGGCTCTCCTTCTCTTCTGCCTTCTCCGTGCCAAGCAGCTGCAGGACAACAAGGGAAGACACACGAGAGAGATAAAAACCTCACAAAGCATTGCGAGGCTTGGATTTAAAAAGTGGGTTCCATCAGTCCCATCACCTGGGACCAAGACCTCCGTGGTTCAGACATGTCTGAATGCAGTTCTGGTGTCAAACAATACGCGGAAAACCGTGCACCACAGCGTAAACCGTTTCCAACGTGTGGTTTCTCAAGCTTTATTAAATACTGAAAAGGTCTCCGTTTCGGATTGTGTTTTCCAGAGCCTTCCATAAATATTTAGGGTCCTTGTGTTTCAGGTTGCAGCACAGTTTCCATGTGGGCCGTTGCCAGAGTTAAGTCCAGCTCATGGCCGTCACGTTTTCCTCGTCCCATGGCGTCTCAGTACAGATGAGACATCTTATTCCACACACAGGACATGAGCGGTCAAAGAAGCAGGGTGCCTGGTTTGTTTCCTTTGTGTCAGCCGTCACAGGGAGTCAGCGCTCATGTTAATCACACTTCAGCTCCTCTTTTGTGCGTCAGGTCTCAGCTAAGCCCAGGAAGCATATAGCCTACCCACCGCAGCCTTTAAGGGCCGATCTTCACACAGCTACTGCTCACTGAGAGCGTCACGGCTTTCTGAGAGCACCTGTCCTCTCCTTCCTGTTCTTTGAACCATCTTTTATGTGATGCATGAGTCATGATCCAGTAGTTCTATCAGCCAGGAAAACAAGTTTTCTTATTAAGGGTTCAACAAGTATAGAAAAATACATGACATGTCAGGAATAAGCCTATTGTAGAAATTATGGCAAAATATTATAAAGGCAATGCTCAGCTTTTGTCTGCCTGCTGAGTGTAGCTTATTTCCAATAAGGTGTTTTTGGGATCAAATTACCAAACATGTTGCAATCTATGTGTTTTAATCAAATTTAGAGATGAGTACCAGCGCCTGAGGTGCTAAACTGTAATTTGCATACTGATTGTTTGGTGTAAAGCACCGTGACGCAGGTTCAGTTAAAAAAGTCAGAACAAAGTTTCCATAATATGCTCTTAAAAGTGCTGGAAAAAATAATTCTCTTTAAGAGTCTAAGTTCATTGGCCGATATCTTTAGTTGCTGCAGGAAGCAACTGGGGAAACTGGATGAAAACTAAGTTCTGATCATTTCAGCTCTGTTGAATTTTTAAGGAACAATTTAGTTGATCACTCAACTCAAAGATTTTGGAAATGGACCTGAACTCATTCGAATGTCTAAAACATAACTCTGAAAACTCAACACATTTCTGTCATGCATATTTCAAATTGTCCTCCTCCACATTCCTCACGTTTTCCACTCGACTGCGGCCTGCAGAGTTCAACTTCCTCCGTTTCTGGGATATGTGATACCTGGATTATGGTGAACTCCCTCGGCCGGCCTTTGTAGCACATGCTGAGCAGGATTAAAGCTTGCACCAGTTGTTGGGCAGCGGGGTTTGTCCCGCCACTTCTAATCCTGCAGACAATGCGGGCTGTTAATTGGAGACTGGACCGATATAGCAAAGGAAAGTCATGAAGACAGTGTGTGAGGTGCCAGGGGCGGTAATCCTCTGCCTCCCCCTGCTCTATGGAGGAATGCATCCCTCCATACTTCACCAGATCTCCTCAACTGTCTCCTCCCACACGGGGTTTTCCATTTTACTGACAGTTATCGCTGCCGTTTTGTTGTGACTCAAACAAACACAAAGTGTCAAACTTGTGAAATGTCACATTTTCCACAGCACTGATAGGAAGTGTGAGAAAGTGCGCAGAGGTGTTTTCATCACCTTGCACACGCCAATAAAGTCACTGAGACCGTCATGCCCCAAAGATGGGCCGCAAAGGATGTGGTTAAATTTCACACTTTAATATTGTGTGAAAGTTTGAAAGTTCTGAGCTACAGGGCTGAAAAATGCAAGGGCCCCATAGCTGTGTCTTCTCACTTGGTCGTTTTAGCCGTTTTTAGTAGTTTTTTAGATGTCCTGTGATGTCATTTTTGCATATGAGTGCAATTTTACGTCTCAACGCGACGTCCTGTTTCACATTTAATTTTGCTTCAATTTGATGATGTTTTGTGTGTCTTTTTATCTCTGGTTTGTGTGTACATCTGGTTATTTTGAGTCTCTGAAGTCATTTGGTAAGGTTGGAGGGTTTCTTGCTGCCACTTTGCCCCATCTTGTCTGTAATTCCATAACTTTGTCTCATATTTAAACGCCTTTCAGGTCTTGCGTCTTGATGTTATTGTTTTTACCACTAATAATTGTTTTGTGTCTCTTAAGGGACCACACATTACTGCCGCTCGATTCCTGCATGTGTTGTCCCATTTCTGAACCCAGTTGGTCGCCTTAAGAAAAAGTTCTCACATTTTCACTTGGTGAAGCACTTTGGTTTTCTCAGTGTAACCCCCAAAATGCAAGAGAAGTTGTTGCTTAAAGCAGTAAATTGAGTCAAACAAGTAATGACTGTTTTTAAACCGTCTGCACGGCCTTTTGGTGCTAATTGTCTTTATTTCTTTTCTTTTCGTTCAATAACAGTGAGAACAGAATTGAAGTGAGTTTAAGTGGGTGAGAAGCCACATCGGCCTCAACTGCCACCCTGCACTAAAAGCCGACGGACACTAGACAGTGAGCAGCTTTTCTCGTCTCTGTTCTGTTTACGCTCTCTTTGATGGACTCAGGTTAATGACACAGGTCTGGTGACTCCAGCAGCCTCTCCATCAAACAGTTTACATTTGGTTTTTCATGTCTTTGTTTACACTCGGCTTTATTTAAACATTGTCTTGTGGTTGTTGAGGGTTGTTTTGTGTCTCTTTCTCTTTAGCATTCACTGATTTTACAATATCTGTTTACATTTTAACACCAGATAGTGTCCTTTGCTCTCTGACTGGAACGCCTGTTGAGTCCTTTGTTATGGTGTAAACGATCCCACATCAGATCAACTGCTGACTTTTTTCTTAGCTCCTCGCAAAGAGTTTTAAAGTGTTTTCCATGAACTCATTTACAGATTCACTCACACACCAGTGGCAGTGGGCCGTTGTATAGAATGCTCGGCTATTGTTAGCCTGTGGTTCTTAGCTTCCATATAAACGACGAGCTGATGCCAGATGAGCTCATGCAAAAAGCGATGAAGCTGCAGAACACCATCTTAAAGGTAAAAATGAATCCAGTTTTTTTGGAGTATCATTGAATACTGGAGCCTATATATACATATATTTCTAGATTCAAATTCAACGTTCAACTGTGTCTAATTAACAGAGAAACTTTCCATGTTGTTGCGTTTAGTTTCTGCCAGAGGAGCTTTGAGGTGATAAATATCTCCTACATATGAGTCAAACTGAGACACATAAGAGTCAGGCCAACCCTTTATGTTTTCTTAACGGAACTACTTGACACTTGGGGGACTGGATCTTTTATCAGTCGATACAAATCAGCAGAGCAACGGCCTGCGGTCACGTGTCACTGCAGCGTACTGGCAGGCAGGTGGTCGGTTTGCTCTGGACGTGTGCCGTTAGATGTTTGTGTTCCTCTAATCATGTGCCGGTTGACAGGTCGTGCATATGCAAAGCAGCAATACTGAGATTCCTCTGCTTCGAGTCTGTCAGTCTGGGCTTTCCACTTTGATACAGGTGTGCGCCTCATCAAATGTCGGGAAATATGAGGAGTGGTTTTCCAGATAAACTACTTTTATGTTATTTGAATGTCAAACTACCAGCTGCAGATATTCAACAGGAAGCAACATCCTGTAAAGCTTACAAATCAGCGGGTTAGATACAACTTGTTTTTTTTATAGTTTTAAATGAGGTTAGACACAAGACCTCAGCAAGGTACATTTAGTTAAAAGTGCATCCTTTTAATGATCCTAAAAAAGTTTTTTTTGGACCAATTAAAATTTCTGATAAGAAAAACAGTAGTTTTCCCTTCTCCCCATATATATATTTTCTCCCCATATATATATTTTCTCAGTATTTTACAGCCAACTACTACAACTGTATGTTTTTTTTTGTCTGAGTTTATAAAGATTAAAACCCGATAAGACCAAGTCACTGATGATTTGTTGTTTACATGAAAACTTCTCACTTTGGCAGGGAGAGATCAGACTGCTCCATATCTGATTACTGTTTGTACATTCCCTGTGCGCCAGATTTATAATGCAGGAGCTTCGCACTTAAGCCACATGCCCTGTTTTCCCATGGATGCCGTGCCAGAGTATGAACATCTCGCTTCCCCTCTGTTTGCAAGAATAGCCCACTGGCCTCTGAATAAATGGTTAACGGCCACTTATCTATCAAGCGCCCTAGTTTGTTCTGTTTGATGTGACGTATGATTTGAAACTTATGTTCTGAATTATTTGGCAAGATTTGAGTCAACAACAAGAAAAATTAGAGTGAGGGAGGATGATGCCCCGTTTTGAACATGAGCTTTGGACACATGAAAGACTGTAGTTTCAACCACCATACATCTCTGAATGACAAAGCTGTGATTATGGTTTGTGGTGAGGATGTTTGCTGTGAGTATTTTGTCTTCTTAGCAAGGCTTTGGTGATGGATTCTCAGCTCTACATCTGCCAGAGTTCAGCTAACACAGGCCCCTTCAGAAAATACCTTTTTTCCCCCCTCCTGATTTTATGACAGTCACTGTATTCTTAGACATAGTTTTGTATTCTTGGACATTTACTACTGCACCACTGGGATGTTTCTTTGTATAAGGTTAAGTTTAGATCTCATCTCACCATTCTTTAAGTGAATCATTTTCCTGTGACATCGTAACAAACCATCTAAAGATACCCAAGTAAAAACAAGACCCGAAATTTCTCAGTGGTTATGTTTTTTTATTCAAAGTCTTAGGTCCCACTGTGGGTCCCATGGTAGTTAATACCAGGATCAGCTCATAATCCCTGAGAAGCAAGTATTGGGAATGAACTGTTCAAACCCTCCAGATACTGGAGACTATACACCACAGTCATTAAGCACAGTTCAAAGCAATACAAAATCACGGCCAGGTCATCATAAGTGGGTGTAAACCCAACAAAAACAAATTACATTCTAAGCATATACATTTACTAGTTATCTAAACAAAGGTGCAGTATACAATACTGCAATCAAGATGTAGAGTGTAACCCAATATGGGTGGGAGATGACACAGAGGAGACAAACACCCCCATGTGGAAACACTGATGCTGCTCTCACCTCACAGGCTCAACAGTAACCAGCAGCTATTTTGTGTAAATAAGGAACAATCCTGTTGACATAACAAAAGCTCATCAGTCTTTTGTGCAAATTATTATAGACTGTGGCTCCCATTGCATTTGTGGCTGGTACTCGGCGTATTTAACCCTCCTCCTCAAATGACATTTGCGTTAAAAGCTGATTCTCCACTGTTGTGCCTTTAGAGGTGAGAGACAGACATCGGCCTATTTGAAACAAGAGCTGTGCAATTTTCTAAGAACAATAAAGACTTTTCAAAGCAATTCAAAGCTGATTGGGACCCCCAAAACAAAATCTCTTCCATTCATTACATTTCCCTGATTGTAACTAATGCAAGGAGTGTTTTTAAATACATAAAAATGAATAGAAACTTAGACTTTGAGGGGTTATTCTTTTGTTGTTTTGGGACACAAATCTGAAATATGTCATTAAAGGACGTAAATGGTTTGTTCACCATAAAATATTTAAAAAAAGGGAAAAGTGCTTTGTCCTGATATACCTCAGATTAGGCCCCAAAAAAAGGATGTATTTGGAAATATGCCAACCGCCAGCTCATGTTGTGGGACAAATAACACTATTTACTTAAAAGTACAATAATATCTTCATATTAGAGAATTTATCCGGAGTCATCTTAGTTAAAGAACTATATGCAAATGTAAAAAAAAAAAAAAGAAAATAGATGCAATGAAAGCTTCAAAGCCAAACATAAACGTGAGTGGCTTTGTCTTTTCAAAAGCATAAAAGAAGTTAATGTAAAGCTGGCAAAGGCTTGAATATATAATGATACATTCTATGAGAATCGCAGTTACATATACAAGCAACACATACACGACAAAGCTCGACTTGATTGCCTGCAAAGCTTTACGGCGAAAGCCACTTCCTGCAGAGAGCTCGAATCTTCCATCGTTTCAGGACGAGGTTCTGGCTCTGGGCAGGAAAGAAAAGTCCCGAGGCGGGCCGCACAGCAGCCCAGTAAAACCATTAAAGACCGTGCTCCACTGCAGAAAGAACACAGCGGCCACACGGTCCAATACCAAACACTGGTCCCCGCGAGCCTTTCAGATACCGAGGCACGGCGGGGACGAGGATGAGAAAGGAGCGGTCACCCTAGAAGGCAACCTGTGGGGGACACCACGGGGTGTCTGGGTACAGGAGACAGTGCACAGACTTGAACCTAGAGGAGAGATAAGAGTGTCAGATCAGCGGCTGAATCTCAAAAAGTGTTTTGCCGTTACAGACGGAGGTGATCCACTTACCTCGATGGATCCTCCTCGACAGTGAAAGCTCCTTTCAAACTGATGATGTTGCTCTTGTTCTCAAACATTCCATAACTGAGAGTGATCTGGAAACAATTAAAAGCAGGGAGCGTGTCAGTGTCAAAAATGCGTCGCTCGCATGTTAATGCGTGAGTTCGTAAAGAATGCTGCATGTGTGAATAAAGGGTCTGTAGCATCCTCACCTGCTTTTGGATCTCAGATCTCATCACCTGTTGCAGGTTTTCTAGATGGGAGTGGAACAGGTTGCTGCGGGTCAGAGGGACCCCAAGAACTGACTCGATGATGTAGCCAATGGTGCAGTCGTCCGGCAGACGGATCTTTTCTGCCGTGTTCATGAAGTGACCACCGCTAAAAAGAAATGGAAGCAGAGCCCTCATCAGTATTCACCAATTCAAACCGACTGAGGTGAGCTTTTTGTCTAATTAGCTCGACTGTCTTCACACTACACTTGAAATTGAAGTGGGGATATTTTCGCCAAATTAGTCTCCACATTATGAAGCATTTACCTGGCCCAAGGGCTCATCTTCAGTGCCAGACCTCGACTCACACAGAAGCCCGCTCCCCCGGTGGCAAACCAGAAGTTTACCGGTTTCTATTAGAGGAGGAAGAAAATGTGTTCAAAATCCAGCCGAATCTGACGCTGACACATTTAACAGGCTTAATATCGATCTTAATGTACCATTTTGTTGTCGCCCAGCCGCTCTGTGGCTTCTATAGGCCGATCCAGACTGGGTTTGCCAATATACATGTCCTGGGTGTGGGGGTACTGAGACAGGAGCTTCACCAGAGTCTGGACGTTCAAATAATTGTCATCATCTACATGACAGAACCACCTGTGAAGCGGAAAAAGGGAAAGACGTATTAAATCCACTGACTGACTCTCAGGCCAATCGATACCGTCTGCATCTGAGAAGCGATTCTTACTTTTTCCCAGACTCGATAAACTTGTCATATTCCACTGCCATCTTGCAGGACAGTGCTTGTCGGCTGTGAGCCGCGGAGCAGTTGGTGTTGACTGCGTGACTCCCTGTGGCAGCAATGAAAGAAAAAGAGAGCTACGGTAAGAGAGGGGGTCGTCAAAAGAGGCTCTGTGTTTATTAATGACGTCTTGCATCTTTCCGAAGCCCAAATAAGATTTTTATGACATTTAAAACATGACCTATGCCCCCTTACAACTCATACAAAGCACATCTCTGTTCTAGGCATTAAAGCGTCCTCACGCAAAACCTACCGATTTTCCTTTTTAGCTCCTCATCCTCTCCATCGGTGAAGACGTACGTCTGTGGGAAAAAAAAGGAAAATCACAGGTAAGTGATTGGACATTCAGAACAACTTAGGCTGATCATGTGAAGCGGTCACGCGATCAAACTCAACACAGAGTCCCTATTCCCCGCATCCAGCTGCCGTCATTAGCGTCAGTCCGAGTATCTTTTATGCAGTGGAAAACACATTGAGTTAAACAGCCCCCTCTAATAAAGGCCTTTTGTATTGCATTTTACTCTCTCCATGGCAACTATGCAGCCGCCCCGAAGCATCCCAGACAAACAACAAAGGAGGAGGCAGACTGTCCGCCACCCACACCACACACACACACACACACACACACACACACCCCGTGCGCGTGTGACGTCCCCCCGGGCTGGCGCCCTTTGCTCGGTGACGACGTGCTGCCCGGGCCTAAACGTGTTTGCTCTGCCGAAACAGCGGCGTAAAATTGTTACGGTCAACACAGTCCTGATAAAACACCCTCTCAGCCGTCCTTTGTCCCCCCCCGTGACTGACAGACTAATAAAGTCAGAGCCGTTCAACCACGAGTCTGCAGGCACTTGTTGAATGTGGCAATTAGTCATAAAAGGGGTGAGCAACAAAGGGGCACCTTTTTCAGGAGCAGGTGCCAGCTGCTCCACGGCGGCCATGAAAAGGCCGCAGGCTTTGCAACCGCCGGCGCTCTGTTTACCCCTCACCTGAGGTGAGGCAGCACCTGCCCAACATCGCGCCTCTTTATCAACTCCTCGTGTCTCTGCACGCCAGGCCGCCGAGTCTCGTGCCTGTGTCTACAATTTAAGATCTACATCTGCAAACAGGCCGCACATTTTCTGTAGAATTACAGGATACATCCGTCTGATCCGGTGGACTTTGTCCCGCACAAAGTCTGGCTGCCCGAGCCTGCTTTTTGGAGCAAATTCTGAGCAGATGCTTCTGTGTGCCGGGGCCGTGAGCCGGTATTTGTTCAAGGAAAGGGTGGCGGTTTCACTGGTGAAGGGATCAGAGGCTGGCCCTGTTTGCTTTAAAGCTCACTGAATAGACAGCCTAATCACAGAGGCAGCTGCCGCTGCCAGGGTACTGACAGGAGCAGAGAGGGGAGGGGGGGCAGGAATCTCAGCGCTGATTAGTAAATCGAAAACCGTGTGTGGCCATTCAACCCCTCTTCGCCCCCTGTCCTTTTTCCCCCCCCCCCCCCCCCCCACTATCCCCCCTCTGAGCCACATACACGGCCAGAGGCTGATGAATAGAACAATGCTGTGAGTTTTCATGCTGGGTAAAGTCTCCACTGGGTAAATTCTGAGCATGTTTGCCTGCATTTGCATACAGCTGCAGGAGTTAACTCAAGAAAAGGCTCTCGGTGGAAGATTTTCTGCAGCCATTGTTGGCTGACAGAAACTTAAAGGGACAGTTACGTTTATGTCATTCGAATTTAAACCAGGATTTTATTTTTTACTTTAAATTTGGTAGTGTGTGAAACAAAGAATGGAGGACAAAGGGAGCGAACAGGGGGTGCCTGTGTGTACTCTGGACCACAGGAAGGACTGGTGTGGCCCTGTCTGAGCTGCAAGTGGTGCCTGGCTGGCTGTCTCCAGCTCCACAGGAAGGAAGGGCAACGGGCTCCCTTCTTTCCATCAACCACCACCACCCTGGCTCCTTCCCCCCCACAGCTCCAGACGCTTAGAGTATTTCGTATTTCAGCGCTTTTTGTTGCGACAAATGATCAGGAAACCGTTGCTATGCGTGTGTGCCAAAAGCTGACCACTTATACTTTCCTGACTCACACTGAAGCCACTTCATTAACTCAGTGGCAGCACCAAGCGATTTATTTATTTATTTATTTCCAAAGCACTTATCGTTGGAGTACGGGCTAATTATCTAACTCTTAAGGGAGGAATGCATGGCACACCACCATGAGGATGCCAGCGCCAGCTGTCTGGACACTAAAAGAAATAATGACCCACCCACCAGAATTAAATCAAAGTTAATCCATTTTTAAGAAGAGATTAATTTGGATTAAATCAGTCTACCAAATGTCTTGATTGGTAAAGAGGACAAGTTTTTACTTAATAAATCTCAGAAATTAAGCCTTTGATTATTTGAATGAGCATAAATATGAAAAGTAGCCAGCATAAAGATATATTAAACAATAAACTGATTGCTTCTGCATTCGCATCAAACCAAAATAAATCTTACCTAAGAAGTAATGAACACAGAACAATGAAAAAGTCTTAACAATGATATACTTTTGCAGATGCAATGCTTCCCATAATAGCAACAAAAATGATCCAAACTCCACAGATGTTCATCAGCTGAGCGTGAGAATTTAAGCTGGACTCTAGAGGATGGCCATATGTACACGGTGGGAACTCGGAGCATCATATGGCAGGCATTAAAGCCATCCTTTGTCCTGTCTTTTCTGACCACCTGGCACCCTTGCTACGGAAACTCCTCCTGCATTGTAATGCTCTGTCTGTCTTTTTTTTGTCCCCGCATCCACCAGCCAGCTGTCTGCCTCTCCAGCCTGTTGTTACCTCTGTAGGATGGGTAAGCTAACAATCTCCACTAAAAAAGCTGCAAGCAGGTTAACACAAACAGTTCAATAGGAGGAGGTGCAGCGGGGCATGGTTTGGTCATTAGTATGAGCTGTGGTGGCAATTTTCACTTATCGTTACTCCTACTCTAACTCACGAGGGGTTTAGTGGCTGTGAAAAGCTATTATCATTACAATTCCTCTAATCAAATATGTCACGATGAGCATCGCTTTGAACTTGAGAGAGTAAAAGAACGAAAAACAGAGGAGACCTCCGTATGACAGCTGTGAGACAAATTAAAAAGACCTCCGCAAAAGCACATGTGACACCTCTGGGTTTAGGATCAAATCATTTTGACTAGTTTTCTCTACTCTATAGCCTGGGCTTTGTGAAGCATCCAAAGGAGCTTCTTTCACAAGGACACATTTCATACTCAGCGTGCAACTGCCCAGCATAAACTATCCTATAGATGCACCCTTTTGTCCCAGGCATCCCCTTAACGAAGCCCCCGTTTCCCCATCCCTCCAGTGAGCCTGACCCAGACGCAGCTCCCACGTTCCCATGGAGAGAGGGGAGACAAGGGGCTGGGAAAAGCTTTTCTTCCCCCTTCAGAAAGAAGCTTTGTTAGTCCCTGGAAGGGGGACAGCGTTGGAGTCGATGCTGTGAAGCATCCATTGCACCCGGAGCATTCACGGGGACACCCAAAAAAGAAGGAGGGAGAATAGAGGAGTGGGGAGCAAGGGGGGGTTGAAAGAGGCAGAAGAAGGAGCCCTGAAACTGCTCCCTCCGCTCTCAGGGGGCATCACTCAGAGGAGAATAAAAAGTGACAAAGCGGAGGAAATTCAGCACAGTTTACAGGGGTTGTGGGGCTGTGGAGGGGGGGGGGGACAAAGCAGCACTGTAAACAGCCATCCCCTCCCTGTGTGCACGCCCGGCATGGGCAAAAACTGGCCTTCAAAAAAAGTACATCACCTCCAAAAATGAAACTTTCACTACGGATGGTAGTTGGGTAAATGAACCAGACACGTCAACAAAATGTTACTTAGCACCTCTCACTGTACCTGTCGCGTATTTCTGGAGATCCACGTCTCCAGGAGCAGGTTCAGCCTGGACTGGTGGAACTTCTTGGTGGTCTTCACGGCGATGAAGATGTCATCCGCGCCGATGTCCTCAGCCGGAGGCGGCCCGGAGGCAGAGGCAGCGGAGCCGGGGGGCTTCTCCACCTCCCTCCGTCCCCGGCTCAGTTTGGTGAAGTACGCGGAGAAGCCTTTCTGAGCCTGCGCGTCCTGGGGGTGCGCACCGGGGTCCCCCCCGGCCGTCCGGGCGCGGTGATGCTGCACAGCCGCAGCCAACAGCAGCAGACACACGCACCCCGCGCAGGCCACAGAGATGAGTGCCTTCTTTCCATTATTTTTCAGCATGATTCAACTTAAAAAGTACGACGAGCTCCCTAATGAAAAGTCCATACGGTGTTAGTATCTCAATACAATACAGGGGGGTGGACGTGTAATCCCTTTGCGTGCATGACAACTAAGTGATCTTGTGGTGATGTGGGTATATATATAAGCTTTATCTCTGGCCACGCCTCTTGGGAAGCGCCCCGCCCCCTTTTCTGGCCCGCAGTCCTTCGGAGGGCGTGGCTTCATCAGTGCGTGTGAATTTCAGTTTAGTTTGAGCAGATTGTAGAATTAAGGGAAAACTAAATGACCTGTGGTTACCAGGAAGACAACTGCATGAGTCTCCTTTTCTATGACACATACAGAAAAAGAGGCTAAAATCCCACAATGTTTTTTTTTTTTTCCTTTCCGAGGTGAAGCTATTTGAAGCCAGCCAAGTGTGAGCCGGGTGCTCACCAGGCAAACAAGCTCCATTGTTCCACACTGACCTTGTGCCGGCTCTTAACAGTTGGCCATTCTTGAACACTTGTTATTCAAATTCTGGCTCTCAACACTGAGTGCCGTCTGGTGCTGGAACGGTGACCAAAGGACATGAGCTCCATTCAGACCAACACGCAGCTGGTGGAGACTCAATAACCTCGACTCCCAGCAACCACCAGACACCATCAAACACTCTAATCGCTCACAGATCTCTAATGACGCATTCATTTTGGCAAAAATGTTTTAATTTCCATGTTTGAGAATATATGAGCACATCCCAAGTAGTTGCTCTTATGTGGGAACAAAGATAGATTCAGTTTTTGGCATCCGAAAAAGAAATGTGTCTTAGAAAATGTGTCTTTTTCCCTGCAGGTGTGTGATTCTTTCTAGTCCTGGGACATGCAGGACATAAGTTAGCGATCTGTTCTGTTGCTCTTGACGAGGCTTTTTGTACACCACAAATGTGTGGACAGAAACGCATTTAAAAGCAAGAAAGAAACCAGGCACAGGTGGTTACCTCGGAGGCATTCATTTCCCCTGGCAGAGCTTTCACCCAGGCTCTGAAACAGTTTGTGGCTTTTTGGGGTTGTGATGACGATGCCAGTTTGTTGAGATGGCCAGTGAGAGAGTTGCCTTAGCTCCGGCTCCAGCTCCCCAACCCACCCCTTAGCTCAGTTCTTAAACTTTTTTGTCTCCTTTATAATGACTTCATGGCTGCAGAGCTTTTTTTGACCTCCCTCTGCAAAGTTTCCATTCAGTATCACAAAGATTAAACCCAGTCTCTCAGACAAGCCCACTTCCTCCAGCAAATGCCCACAAACCCACAAATAAACATCTCCAGCGTGTCTGATTTTCTCTGTGATGGTATCAGCATGTTGGGAGATCTGCGGCTGGAGGATAAGATTAGAGGGCTGCGATTCTGAGGTCCCGTTTATTACCGAAAGGACCAATTACAGCAGGTGAGAGCGCAGGATGGACAGTGACCACAGCATCCGCCAAATGTCCCAACCTTCATCTTTACATCAGGGCCATTTTTTTCTTCACAAAACCTCCAGACACAAAGCTCCATCAGTGAAAACTTGATACTCTTTGCAGAGCTCCAACACACTGAGGACACGAGCATGGAAGACATTAGCTCCAGACCACATATTTCTTTCCGCTTTAAACTGCCTCCATTTATCTTACATTTCAATATGTTTGACATTCCTGACTATTTCTGCTTGTGAAGCTTTTCTATGTCAGCAAATAATTCAATAATCTTTCACATTGTGAACCGTAATGCTTTTGTTCACCTCTTCATTCTTAATGTCATGGACATTGACATCAGAAAATATGTTCTTAAAAAAAATTGTATTCATTTTTTTTCAAGCTGCAGCTTCTATGTGCAAAACTCCACACAGATATAATATCTTATCTTTTGATACAAATACCCACTACTTAGAATTTAAAGTCAGTAACAAGCACTAAATTGTGGGTTATCATCCTTCTATAATCAAGCAATTAGCTACAAGAACATTTAGGGGGTTTGCTTAGCTAAAACACATTTGTGGGCCATAACTTCTTCTCCAGTGACTTTTATAGCAGGAGGGTCTAACCACATTGTTAATCACTGTAGAAGAATTGTGTTCTTAAAGCTTCTAAATACATTATTATGTTAATTCTTTGAAATGTTTGATGGTTGGCCTTTAAAGTGAGCGTAATGAACTCACTTACAGAAATGAGTCTCATTGGATTATGTGTCTTTGCTACAGACATGAACTGCTGTGATTGTTTTCTTTTTAAAGAATACATTTAAAAAAAGAAGTGATAATCACAATGGGTATTGGTGTCGAACACCAAGGTGAACAAAAGCTGAATGAGTGGGATTTCACAGGCCAGTGCTGAGAGCAGAGCGTTGGAATCAGTCTTCGCTTGTGTTTATTTTCCCACCATGGACACACTATCTCTGATGGGATTACAGGTCGCACCAGACGTGAGAGCCAGGAGACCGGGTGTCCTCTTCAGAGCTCGGCTTCGGTTTCCCTCCTCGTGCAACGTTAGGGGAAATTCTCTGAGGGCCGCTGATGAGAACGCTTCAGCTGCTCTTGAAACAAGTATACACGACCCATTTTTATTGATCGGTGGAGAGTTTCCATCAGTCCGAAAGCAGCTCCTTCAGTTAAGTATGTTGGCACTGGGAGTGAGATTTTCAATTAAGTGGCAGCATTTATTTATCAATTAGTCGATCGACTAAATTTAATGCATATTTTCTTATAAAAGGAGAAATAACAGCTCATTTTTACAAATTAATTAAACAATATTTGTTATATACAGTCAAGTAATTTTTCCTCAGCTTCCTCAGAAGGAAGGATCTGATTATGGTTCAATAACGCGTGATTACAAATCTGAAAGCTGGGCTAATTTAATGTCTTCACATACCGGCCTTGTGAAATCAGATTACATTTTGAGATATAGCTAATCTTTGTAGAACAACATTGCCTTTTTTTGACTCTACAAAACCACTATGAGTTCCTAGAAACAAGATATTCACTGGAGACCGTTCAGGTTTATATTCCCACTCAGCGCCTAAAAAACACAAGGGACCTTTAAAAGCTGTTGATGACAGAGTTATTTCCATATCATATTGTCAGCGTCATGAGACAGGATGTTATAAGTTGTTTTTTAAAGCCTGTGCAATGGGCAATAAGTGGGCCAATCCAAAAAAACAAAACAATAGTGTTATCAGTTAATAGTTTTGAACGCTCTTCTTTTCCCTTTTCTGTCTGTCATCTAAAAATAGCATCATTTGTTGATGTCTGGAATCACAGAACATTTTACCTAAATGCTACTTTGCCAGCGTGTAAACAGGATTAACTTCAGATTTTCTTTGGAATTTGTATCAGAAGCATTTTCTCTTGGATGAATAAACAAGCCCAGCGCTGTGAGCTGGGGGAGATTTTTATGCTGCGGAGAAACTCTGCTGCTCCAGAGAAAACAGGAAGCTCGCGGCTGGTGGCCGACGTTCTGCCTTAAAGTTCCCCACTCTGCTCTCAGAGCTGTCCGCTTTGTACTCCCCTCTTCATGAGCAGGCAAAGACAAGCTATTTGCATAACAGTTCAGTCCTGCTCATCATCACCCCCTGCTCCTGCCCTACTTCCACCCTGTCAGCCTAATGCTTCCCAGCACTCTGTCTTTGTGCCTGCTCTTGTTGTTCTGGGAACATCATATGATCAACAAATTGTGATTCCAGACTGCTCTAATCTTCAGATTCACAGAAATACATTTAGTGTAACAGCCAAAATTAGGGTTGACGGGGGGAGACTTGGCTTGGTTTCCAGTGTGTTGTCTCGCCCGTGTTGGGGAGATCTGATGTGTGTGTGCCTCGTGGTGCAAATCGAACACTGTGGGACCTGATAGTGTGGAAGAGACGACGTAGTCCGATGTGGCAGAGTCTCACGGGACAACATGCAGAGCAGAGGGAGACTCTGGTGGGAAAGTGCTGAGGTTTCACTCTATGGGTGTTATGTGGGTGTTGCACAGAGTGTGTCATCTTTCTTTTTTTCTCCAGAGGGAACTGCATGCTTAGTGACTCACGGGTCTGTACTTACAGCCTAAGAGATAATTGCCTGACTTGATATTTTAGAGCAGGGACCAAAAGGAAGACAATGAGTGGAAAAGTCGTTATGTCTCAGCACAGGGGTGCAGCTCAGCTGTAGCCCACTGTCCAATCTCATGACTAAATTAGTCATGAGACATAAACATCTTTACATACTCTCTGAAAATGCCGCAAGCCATTCTGATATGCGGAAGAACACAAGTTTATGATGATTGTGCAATACAGCCATGATCAAAAACACTAAAGAACAAAGGTAAGATTAGATCAGATCATCACACTTATCAATAAACCAAAATAATCATTTACAAACTGTGACCGCAACAGATTGTTCATCATGAGCTCTGTCAGAATTCTCTGCAGATTTTGTGTAAAACCTTTTCATCAAGCTGTTGATGGTACTTCAACAGGATCTTAATTCATGAGTTGACTGTTTAAACACTGCTTCTGCATATCACTGTAGCTTGGATTTTGTTAAACTGAAGTGAAATATTTTATGACAAGCTTACAATGGAAGGAGGGTCTACTTTTAGTCAAGTGACCAAGTAAAAACTTTCTCTTTTAGCATTTACCTTTTTAATGTACCTATTTTAATGTACCAAACTCCTTCTTCTTCACCTTATGGGCCTCAGAGATTTGCGGTATTCATCACTTCCATTGCCCTCGAGGAGAAGCTCTTGTATCTCTCAGATTTCTCGATGCCCTCAAGCTTTTCCACGTCTGATTCTTCGGTACCCCACACAGAGGCTGGACAGATGCCCAATCAATCATCTCTGTGATGTTCTACATCTGTTGCTGCTTAGGGTTTTACTAAATGTTTTCTCTGCATCAAGGAGTCTATTAGCAACTAATTATCCCCCCTCCCCTTTCTATTAGCCATTCTACAAGACTTCAACCTTTTACTTGTTGTTTTTATTAGTCATGTGGACTTCAGTTCATGTTTTCGTAATGCGGAGCGGCAAAGTTCAGTCAGGGCTTATTGTGAACTCCGCAGGGAGCATGGTGATATACAGCAACAGGAGAGGCCGCTCAAATTAAAGAGCCATGACAATGA